TGATTGTCTGCCATCACGTGGGCAACCTGACCTCTGCCGGATCGTGTCCTGCGTTGCCGCGGATGCCTTGTACGACAAGCCGCGCTCACACTTTCGCAGATTCATCGAGACCTTTTTCTGGGTGTCAAGAGTCTCTGTTATAAATCATTATTTTGCGCGGTCAAAACCTGACGGAAGTGAGAATACGTTGGCGCTGACCTGTAACAAAACGGGTCACGTATAAACGGGCACCGACGCTCGGCTGTCGCAGGTTACTGTGCCGCGTCACTCGCTTACTAGGGACAGCCCGTCAGTATTCCGTTCTTCGTTCCACGGAAACCGGAACATCGCATGCACTTTACGGCTCGCGCTAGAACGTACCGCGGAGCAGTGAACCAGTTTTACCGCGAGTATACAACACGGCTACCACGCCTAAAAGGGCTCTCGATGAACGAACTACGACCGACACAGTACAAACCGGAAGCGTGAAGTTTCGTGACGCTCCGTTTCAGATGACGAAACTTCCGGCTCAAATGCCGTTCACCTATTAGTCTGTAGGTCCCGTGACGTCAGGTCACGTGACATCAATTTCTTCGCTAAATTGAGCGCGAAATGCACGGACGGACGAACGGACAAACGAGCGTTCAGCCGTGCGTTGTTTATTTTGGGGGTGAAACAAACCCTAATATATTTTGGGGAAGGACACCCTGTACACTAATTTCGTCTCGTGGATCTTTTTTTCTTCTTTTTTTTTTAATCATGAAATTTGTTTTAACTCTACGGGGGTAGAGTTAAAACAAATTTCATGATTAAAAAAAAAAGAAAAAAAAAAGATCCACGAAACGAAATTAGTGCACAGGCTGTCCTTTCCCAAAATATATTAGGGTTTGTTTCACCCCCAAAATAAACAACGCATGGCTGAACGCTCGTTTGTCCGCGCAAATGTAGGACTACCGGTCCCAACCAGATGCCGAAGTTTCAGAGCTAAACGTTTACTCATTCAAAAGTTACGCAATTCTTTTTTTTTAAATTTAAATGGAAGAATTGACCTCTTTTTTTCGCCCGTTTTTTGGTAGCGAGCATTATTCAGCTCCAGGTGTTCGAGAGCTCCGCCGGCTGCCATTTTTCCATCAAAATGTCGGAAAAAACGTTTTAATAAGGTCACGGTTAGTGCCGAAACTTGGGCATCTGGTACAAACCGTAACCTTTTTTTTTTTGGCCGGGCCGGGGGGGGGGGGGGGGGGGGCTGTCAATAAATGACGTTTTTAGTAATTTTGTAATAATATGAATGCATTTATTAGGAAGCAATAGCGAGAGTAACATTCTGATTACTTTTGGAAGTGCTAGAAGGACTTGTAACCGCTACTGCTTTCCTCTCCCCTTTTTAATGGCGCCATTTCTTTGTACAAGTTTCCTATCATATAATCTGGGAACCAAATCTCCGACGGGAGGACATGGTTTACGAAAGTCGGTGTATTAAGATAAGTAGTTTATGATTCGGTGATCCTAATCTAATAATGGACAGTCCGAAAAACCCGTTTTCAAACCGGCAGAAAAATATGTCGTTTCGAAAATCTGGAATAATCGGCAAAGTAACGATTACTTTTTCAGGTACCGACCAATGCGGACCGTAAGTTCGTCTGCTGCTTGCACAGAGGATGTGATGATGTCAGAACACTGAGCTCTTATTGGTTGATTGAAAAAAAAAATAGTTGGTAAACCTCAAGGCATCTAGCATTGAGGTCTACCCACTATCCTCTTAATCAAAGCCAATCAGAGCTCGGCGTCGTTCTGACGTGACCGGAACTCCTGCGCTAGAAGCAGACGACTTGCTCTCCGCACTACTTTTCATCTCGAGTAATCAAATAATCTAACTGAATGTTTTAAGCAAGAGTACTATAATTGTAATCGAATATTTTTTCCGAGTAACATGCACGATATTAGCTGGAGTGACAATGCTGAACCGCTCTAAGGCACGCCATATTACAAAAAAAGAAGACAAGAAGATATAAAGCAGAACAAGATAAAAAAAAGAGTAAAAGACACTTTCAGTAGAAGTTGCGTATAAAGTTTGCATGCCATTCCTCACCAGTCGAACAGAAAATACCGCAATGGTTCTTGGGAATAACTCTACGTGCTTTTCTTTCCCTAGACATTCCCTTTTCTAAACGGGGATAGGGAAATGAAAGAAAAAACTTTCAGCCTTTCCACTCTGGTGAAGAAGGAAAAGCAGCGGAGCTTTAGCTTCTGTTCTGGGCGGCGGCTTTCCAGGCGAGCGATCTGCTCTTCTTTGGCAAGGGAACCTGAAGCGTTTGACGCAGTGAAACTGGAGGCGACAGCGGCTTCGTGGAGGTTGCGAAACCGATTGCGCTGCTGCGTACGTCGCCGCTCCTTCCGCACCCCGTCTTCTTCCCCCGAAGAAAGGGCACGCGGCCGACCCAGCGTAAGTCCAAACCGAAAGTGATAAGAGCGTAGGAAACAGCGCGCAATACAGACCGCCGCCATCTATGAGTGACGGCGGCAACCAGACTTATTGTCTGGTTGCCGCCGTGCTTTATAGATGGCGGTAGCTGTCCAAAGGTGTGTGTAGGCCTGTGTCGACACTTCTTTGGTACCGGACACGATCCCGGGGAACCTAGCCCTTAACAGCTCCGCTGTAAAAAAATAAACGGCAGGTACGAACATCTCCCGACAACAAGGCCAGAGAGCTGGATTTGTTACATCTCCACCCGGAGTCCAATATGGAACACAGCCCGGACACAGGACAGTGGTCTTGTCATCAAAGATGTGCTGGAGGTATACCCACAAACATTGGTAATCACAGAATCAGAGGCACGTATTAGAACGATTGAGAAGGCGTTTTATTTCGAGGAAGCCCATTTTGTTTTGAAACATCCACCTGGTAACAGTGTAACGTGCGAACAGTGATAAGCGTGCATCGTTGCCACGTTGCGTAGTAGTACACACACACACACACACTCTCGAGTTGCATCCTGACCGACTTCGGCGGGTCGTTTTTGTTTTTTTTGTTTTTGTTAACTGGTCCCTAAAGTTCCCCGGGAACTTCGTTTCCCCGGAGCTGCAATCGGTGGCCGTGTGTGGCCGACGCTACCCTCTTGTATTGCGGTGCGGAGTGAACTGATGTCAGGAACTTGACGTGGGAACATTGAAAGACTCTTGGAGAAAAGACGCGTAGAAAAAAAGAGCACGTTGCGTGCGCCTTCATACACGGGTCCGAGCTAGTTGAACGCGCCTACCTGAAGTTATTGCCCAAGGGCACAATTTCACTTGAGTGGCAAACATCGATTTTTGATAGTAGATGAAGACAGAATCATCCTTTTGGTTAACAGAGCACTCTTGTTGACAAAGCGGGCTACTCTGTGGCATGTTGATGACGTTACAACTTCGCTACGTCATCAACTGGTGACGTCGTGAAGTTGCTATGCAGCACGGTTGCTACGCCTGTCGGTGATACAGCAAGGTAGCGTCAAGGCTACGTCAGCTGGGAACGTAACAACTTTGCTACGTTGTCAACTTGCGACGTAGCCACTTTTCTATGTCGTCAACTGACAACCGGTGTTCGTCGCAAAGTTGGTAGGCCGCATTATTGCTACACCGGCTGTGAACGCGCAAACTTTGAGCCGTAATCAAGTTGTGGCGTAGCAAAGTTTCTAGACAACAGCATTGCTACTTCAAAAACTGGTGACATAGCAACGTTGCTAGGCAGCATTATTGCTACGCCAGCTGATGACGTAGCAACTTTGTTGTGCTATCGATTGGTGACGTCACGAAGTTGGCAGGTAACATCCTTACTACGCCAGTCAAGTGGCGATACTGCAAAGTTACTAGGCATCATTATTGCTTCGCCATCTGGTAAAGCAGCAACTTTGCTACGTCATCAACTGGTGACGTAGCAGTGCTGCTAAGCAGCATCATTGCTACGCCACTTGTTAATGCAGCAACTTTTCAGCGTCATCATCTGGTTACATAGAAAAGTTTTTAGGCAGCATCATTGCTGCTCCAGTTGGTGACTTAGCAACTTTGCTGCATCATCAAACGGTCGCACAGTTACATGTATTTGAGCAAGTGGAATTGCGAAAGATTGCGGCAGTTGGCACCATGTTAATATTTGTTTTGTCGGTCTGACAGCAATCGATGTCTATCGCGATTGTGTGACAAAGCTGTTACAAGACTGATTTTCTGCTGATTCTCTGCCTGTCTTAGCGCGCTTTATTTAAAAAAAAAGATGTCAATAAATACTTCCGAATTAAACTTTTGAACATGAAGCAGGTACCAGGATGTGCCCAGTTTAAAGTGAAGTCTCCGACCTGGTACATATATTTGTCTAACTTCAAAGCACACGAAATATGGTACTGCGCAAAAATTGGCAGGAGCCTGCAAATTCACTAGTTTAAGATTGCGTGACAGAAAAATAATGCATTAGCTGAATTGACGAAGCCTAATAAACCGACCTCACCAGCCAGGTTGGTAAAGCCACCGCTGCCGCAGTGCATCGGGGGAATTTTCATCTTTTTGCAGCTGCGACAACCTTGCTGGAGCTCTTCGCGTGCAAAGCGCGGGATGGCATGAGCAATCTCCGGCTCTGCCGGCTGGCTCCCGAGAACTAAAGCTATGGAGGCTTTACGCATGCGCCGTACACTTAGTGAGATCGGTCTATTGCATGTCCCAGTGAGTGACAATAAGCAGAGGTTTGAATCGACATAAGAACGGCAGCATTGATATTGAGCCTCAGTGATACTGGCACATTGGCAACTCGTTGAAATGTTTTGTTTCGTGAATGTTGATGCATCCGGGAGTGTGAGACTGTCCCGATCGATGAATGAGCGAAATGGTATCGTAATTTTGATACGCACCCAAAACAACTCCAAATTCATCTACTCGTTTGTTCATAGCGTTGTACGTGCGGCGAAACCAGGTGGCCGGCGTGTACAACTTTCGGGTTAAAGCGTTGTTTAGGCTCCAACGCAGCACCGACGACTGTCCACGCTCGGAGCCTGGTGTGTTCACCGTCCTATCCCGCCCATACATCAAAAGTGATGCGAAGTGGCAACAAATGACGTCACAGTAGACGGAGCGTCCTGCTGTCGGATGTCGTGACCCTTGCGGTTGGTCGTAGAAATGCTGGCGAAAAACAGGAGCGAACGCGGTATGCTCATTTCGTTGCGCGACAGCTTGCATTCGTGGGGGTGCCGATACCTGGTCAGAACAGGACATACTACAGACACGCTGGAGAGAGACATTTGCATCGTAAGTGGTTCGTGTAAGTTCCCGTTTCTTCCAGTAGTCTGCCGGTTAATTGATTTGTTCCACGGGACATTCCTTGTTCGGCCCTGGTACCAGATGTGAAGACACGCACTCGTACAGCAAGCAAGTACGAGTGCTCACATGAAAATTGACCTGGTTGTCGCCAATGAGCTGCCTTTCCTACGCGCGCACATCAAATGAAGTGCCCATTCACACGGTCTAGTAGTGTTAGACTACGTCTGATCACTCTGCGTTGGCTTCAGTCGGAGGCGACTAAAAATTATCATGGCCACCAATCCACGCATCGTTGGGTAACCGGCAGTTGTGTCCTGCCGACAAGAGCCAATGGCTCCTAAATAACAACCCCCCTCCCTCTTTCCTCCAAAGTGGTTCTGGTCAAACGCAGTCAGACTCTACCGTGTGCATGGGCCTTAGGTCTTTACTATGTTCGCAGGAAAAACTGACCACATTTTGATGATATTGAGAGCATGTATGCCAACCGTTAATTTCAAATTGCAAACTGTTGCCCAATATAGCACAAATACCTTCCACGGGAAGTCAAACATCGACATCGAACATCGTGGCGCATAGATGTTTTAGGAGACTGCGCATAAACCAACATAAAAATGCGGACCATCATTTGTGTAAGAGGTAAACTTTTTTTTTTTGGCATAGATGATGGTAATTATAACCTACACGATCAACGTCTACGTAGCCTTTTATACTCTGTTTCACGCTAAGTTCAACCGCAGCTAAAGCTACGATCCGGCGACGCCAACCAAGCAAAGCCAAAAAGTTTATCCTCTTGGCGCTCGTCTTTTCGCGTCTGCTATCAACGGATGAACCAGTCGCACGCAGGGAATCCGTTGTGATCCTGCACTTCTATCTGTGCGCGATTGGTGTAGCCGGTGATAAAAAAAACGTTCAAAGAATGCGAGCACCGTGACGATGCACTTTTGACAGAGCTTGATTGGCTCCCACGGATCTTAACGATGACTGTGGTTGGACTTACAAGAGAGTTTTAGGGAACCGTTTTTGAGCATCCGATACGGTAAGATGGGCCCTTCGGTACGAACTGCGCATGTGAGTCTTCTATGGTAGCGCATGCGCAGTCCATACGTAAGAGCCCATCGTACCATTCGAGACGTGCGAAAACGTTTCCCTAAAACTCTTTGATGTGAAACGGAGTATAGTCACGCTAGACGGGCGTCTCATCTTCAAGACCTTTGGAACACATAGACAAGAAGACGAAGATGGTGAAGATGTTCTGTACTAGATGCATCTACACGTCCGAGACACTTGGCAGCACAAGAGCACGGCAGCGATTCCTGAGTAATAAAAATAGTATTTCTGTGTATACGACGAAGAAGAAGGCATTTGAAGCTTTACCAGGAGGAAGACTCGAGATTCGGGGAGGGCGGGTCAAGTGTCGGACGATCATCGGCCTGAACCCAGCCTTGTGCAAGTTTGCGTCCAGGGACGACATGTGTCTGTACGGTACCGACGATGTACAGGTAGTGCGGTGAACTGATCGGGTGTCTGTTGAGCAATAAAATGATTCCGGTGACAGCAATAGGGCGACCGTACTGGCGATAGGCACCGACTAACTGAGGGTGAAGGGGTACACATTCTGGTGATTCCCTCTGGTATAAACGCGTTGCCTGGATCCTTTTTACCTCGATGAAAGATTCAGATGCCATATATACAAGGTTACTCGCTTGTGCAAGAGGCAACAACTAGCGACAGGGAGGGGGGGAGTGAAGGGCTGTCCAGAGAGACGATAGACGTCCAACGTTTTCCCAGAAACAAAACACCCTACATTAGGAGTTTCAGCAGTTCTTGCGACTTCTCTGAGATACGGCGAATCGGGCTTTCAACTAGAGAGCACTGAAATAGGCGGAGCGTTGCTACGACCGACTGTTTGCTGAGGTGCTTGGTATGGACGCGACACATAAAAAGCAATTGCGACGCGACATTCTTCGCCTGCTTGCAGACAGGCGTTTGCTCAATGATATTGCAGGAATCTCCTCACAGCACAGCACAAAAAGTACGTGTGCCTCTGCTTACTCAGCATTGTCTACGCTCAATGAGCACGCTCCATTAAACCATCTCGTGAAGCCGTGTTTTAAGCCCGATTACTGGAAATTTACAATATAAAAGACGCCACCAAGACAATCGTATAGAGGGTCTAACATGCAAATAGACGACGGTGGCGCCGCGTTTCTTCCCCTACCCAAAGCTTCATAGCTTTTCACAGAAATCTAGCAATGGTCACAACCCTCACCTTTCTAGTACACTCTAGTTCAACGTTTATCGTCTCTATAAGGACAGTACCATGTAAACGGTTGATGAACGTAGTTAAGTTGTATAAAATGATTGGATGACCAGTTTAAAACTAATATGAATTTCTAAGGAATCTAAGTGCGCAAAAATCACTCAAGATAAGTGCGGAGATATCACGGAGAAAAGGGTTAAAGAAATCCCAAGGTCTACGGCAGGGCAGCCGGCTGGCCTGCCGTGAGTAGAGACGATGCGATGAAGCCAGTCACGTGATGATTGACGCCGCAACCACCACAGCGAGGTCACAACATTGAAATCACACCGGTTTCGTGAAGTAAGTCGGCGGCAAAGGTTGATTCACCAATCCACGATGAACTTGCAATAGCTGTGTACTCCCTGAGCATTAAATCGTTGCTTGCTATCCGCACCGCAGCGACGTCATGATCCAGAACAGCGACACTTCACAAGCGTCTTGAGGACACGAAGACCGGTGGACGACCGTCACTGCGCCTGCGCAGTGATGGCATCAGAAGTTTTGTAGGGTAGGTGCGTTGACGTCACTCGAACTTAGCCCACAATTCCACGCCCCCTTTGCTGAGGACGTGATTCCAGTGCGTCACCATAACATCCGTTTCGTAGCACAGGCAAACTTGCAATCCTGTGCGGGCACTATTGGACACTTCCTATAAATTCAGCAAAATTAGGTTAGTTGAATGCATCCCTCAAACGGTTTTTTTTTTAAGGTAACACGAGCAGCGGCCACTGCCACTGCCGAATGAAGCAAGACGCTCCTTAACTTAATAGTCTCTTTGCACATCGTTCCGCCATGAACTTAAGAGAAGGCACAGAGCAATAATGTAATCACCTATTCCTAGATCTTGCGAGGTCTAGCAGGCTTGAAAGTTCGGCCACGTGACACAAAATTGTGACTTGACTGGTTCGCTTGCCAAGTGAAAAGGGATCAGTCAAAGAGCACCTTAGAGCGCATAATCTTCTCAGCTGAACTCTTGGCGATAAGGCTTATTACTCCGTCTTCGCCTTTCTTTTTTTCTCCGCCACTCTGCATCCGACTATTGTCCATGGAGTAAAGGCTCCGTGAGACGTTTTTGTAGACTCACACCCAGTACTGGTTCTTCCTGAGCACGGTGGTGGGCGCCGAGAAGCGAACCTCCCCGTTCCAGTCATCGCTTTCACTTGCCGCCTCCGAAGGTGCTTTGAGGGCTTCGGGGTGACCTAACGGTGTTACCTTGCACGTGGGGACCGCGGGGCTGACCTCTGTGCTCCCCGCGTAGGGCGGCGGCAGACAGTCCATGTCCGGCACGCCAGGCACTGGCTCGCTGCTCGTACTCGACGGGGACGTGGGCGGCGCAGCCGGCGGCGACGGTGTTTCTTCGAGCGGCATACCAGGACCTCTCGCTGAAGACAGTCGGGAACCGGTGCTGTCACGGGGCTTCTCTCCGGTCCCGCCTCGGCTTCGACAGGCGCCGCAGGCGACCCCGACTACGGCGATGACAGTGAGCAGAAGAAGGATGCCGGCTGCGACTCCAATCACAACGAGGTGGTCGTTGGTGAGAAGGGGTACGCGGATGCCTGTCTCGATGATCCCTGGAGGTCGTTCCGTTCCAGTATCGTTGTTGTTGTCGTTGGCGTCGCGGGTTGAAGGAGTGGTGGCTGAAGCGACCGTAGACGGGGGTTGGAGGTGGATCAGAAAACGTCCGATGCCTGGCTGGACGCCCGCTGCTGTGAGCTCGAAGTCGAAGTGATCGCCGCGGGACGTTGTGGCGCCCTTGGCGTGGCTGTGGTAAACGAGCGTTTCGTTGAGTATGTCCTCGTGCGTAAACTCCAGGGCTGGGTTTGGGGATCCGGAGAGTAGGAGCAGGCCCAGTGTTGGGGATCGAGTCACACGATATCTGTGAAACAGATGAGCAGATTATCAGTTCGTTCACTGCTGTCCACATAGGCACCACAATCGATGCTCATCAAACGTCAGCGATAAAATTAGAGACCCGACATGATATTCTACTCGCTTTCTAAGGGTTTTAACAATACGTAAAGCGGACAAAGTCCGGGGTTCAATGCTTTTATCTGTTTCTATGGTTAAACAATGTCACTGAATCGCAGCCATTATTGGCGTTGGGTTCGATATCTTTGAGAAGTCAATGAAACGTCATATTCAGTTGTCGAAATTGCCATTCATGTTCCTGTGGCGGTTGGCATGTCTGCCCGTATAGCTTTCAGCACTAAATCACCTCTATCTAAATATAGTTATATTTAAACTGAAGGCTTGGATACTTAATAAAAAAAAACATCAAGATTTAAGAGAAAGGATGTCACCTCGGCATAGAGTTGGTTCGCGCTGCCAGCTTGGATGCGTCCAAATGGTCGACAGTGACGAGCGCAAAACGTCCTGTCTGCACCACCAGTGGTCGCTGTCTCACCAGGGCCTCAACTTTCACTTCCACCCGATGCACAACGGGAGGCACCTGCCTACAGCTGACGGTCACCACAAACGAATCCCTTGGGCCGCTAAGGTCATGCTGCTCGTACACAACAAGTCCTTGCTTTAAATCGCCGTGCGTGAACTCATCGGCAACAGCACCATCGGGGAAGACCAGTTGTCCAAGCTGGGGCTCAGACGTCACGTTGTACACAAGCTCTTGAAGGTCACCGTTTGTCGACGCACCAATGGTCGTTGGACTGATGACCACTCGCGCGTCCCCTTGTGTCAACCTGAGTCCGGTTCCATTGGAGACACGAAGCACGACAGACTCAACATCGATGAGGAGGGACACGGGTACGGCTGGGTGCACGCCGTCACTTACCAGGAGCTGCAGAGTGTCTGACGTCATTGTAGACCCATCATGGACCAGAGACACTCGCCCGCCGTCAACATCTTGTTGAGTGAAGTTTGCAGCAGCGACATCAGCGCCGTCAAGAACGAACATAGAGGCACCTTCGTCTTGTCGGAGGACCTGGTACACAATTTGAGCCGAAGAGCCGTCCTCGTCTGAAGTCTTCAGGATGCTGGAAGACAGCGTTGTCCTGTACCCTCTGGCAACTCTGACGACGGGGCTAGGTGTCTCGACAGTGAACGGCCGATCGTTGACTGGATGCACGGTGACGCGTAACGTTCCGTTGTGTAGGGCTAAGTCCGGACGGTCGCCATTGGCTGAGGCAAGGAAGAGCCCGACGCGAATGGAGTCTTCGAGCGTCTCCGAATCGTCGTGGACGTAGATGAGCTGATCTAAGCGGTGGGCCGCGACGCACAGGGGGACAGTTACGTTCCGCTGGTCCAGCTCAAGCCAGCCACGAATCGGCGCTGAGAGCACACAGAGTCGAAGGCGGGGTGGAACGTCTGGCTTGCCGCGCCAGAGTGCCTGAAGACCCGCCACATCCAACGCGGATGCCAAAGGCGTTCTTCCGCCCTCGGTGACCTGAAGTGTCCCGAGGAGCGAGGCCACGGAGTCCCCCAGAGCGATCCGGATGCCGAAGAGAACACCCGTCACGGGCGCCGCATTGGCCGTCACCAGGTCAAGCTGGAGGGAGTCGTGTTCCACGGGCTGAGACATGGGTGCACGATGCTCGTAGAGGACCAAGTAGTTGTCCAGATCGGCTTGCGTGAAGCGGCTGAGTTGGACCAGAGTTCCGTCTTGCGGATTCTCGCGCAGCAGGATACCTAATCGGGGCTGTTGGACGACAACAAAGGACACGTCTCGGTTGCGGTCACCAGTACGTGCCAGGAGATGATCCCTGGTGATAGACTGCTGGCTTCCCGGAAGCACGCTGAGCGTCTTGTTGTGCTCCAAGCGAATCTTGAGCGGTCGCGCGTTCACCGTGAAGACGTGCGGGGAGCCCTGGTTGAGACCATCGGTCACCTGGAACTTGAATCCTCCTGCTGGTGAACCTGCGAATAAAATGGGTGTAGTTTAGTAAGCCATGCATGTACGTGCGATTAGACTCAACTTTTAGATCCAAAGAAAATAAAGGTGTACGAGGCTTGTATGAAAATTGAAAAAGAACATTCTAGAAGAGTAGCGTCGGACGTTTTGCTGATAAATACATCTTCTAAGTCTCTTAGTGAAACGTCGGCTGGCAAACTAAGTCTTACAAAAACCTTTTTTTTTTTGTAAACTCGGAAATATTTTATTTATGCTTCCTTTAACCGAACTTATTAGTAAAGTAATATTTTTTTTTATCAAGAAAGGTCATCGCTTAGAGAGTTCTTTTTGGGGGAAACTCGGGGGTGTCTAGAATCGCTCAGCTACATTAAAACTACACTTTGTCGGAGCTTTTGTTTTTAATCTAATGTATTCATTTTTCAAAGTTTTTGGATTTCTCATTCTCCACAAGACATGATGGATATGGCACGCACGCTGATTTATTAATGAAGATCTCATATTGCACGCTACGTCGTGGAAGCTTTGAAAATACAAACAACACTAACAACCGCCAGCACTGATTTACAGCTGAACTTGGTGCTAACAGCAAATATAAATTATGCATGTGTCCCAACAAAATAAGTTGTTTTGTTATTGCTTACTATATGGTTATGATACGTGAAGTATTTACGCTTGATGTGAGCACCAATGACGTTTAGCTGTAAGTCAGCGCTGGTGTTTGCCTTCTTTTACTTTTTTACGTCCGGTTGCGCCGTTTGTATTTTCAACAATGAATCAACCAGCATAATCATCTACGTTACCCTAACTTTGAAAACCCTTCTAACTGCGTGAGCGTTTGAAAAACACGTGATAATACGTAGAACAGCGTTTTCCCATTCGACGTTTCACAGCGTTTCACACAGGCTATATGATAGATCAAGGCGCGCGTTATCTCGCCATATTCTGAATCCGGGATTAACAGCAATATTCTTACGCGTACCATGTCCGCATACGTACTGCCAATGTCTAATGCCCAGTCTTGCACAAGGTGCTAAAAAAAACAAAAACGTAATCGATTACAATAGCTCTCTTGCAAAATCGAAGCAATCCCAGCGGCGTAGCGCCGCGCAAAGCACCTCGGACACCTTTTTTTCACCGTTTCGGTTTAAATTTTTCAAGCTTAATTCGCGACGTCCCTTCACGACCAAGTACAGTGGCTGCATTTTCGAATGGGTGACTTTCCTTAAATCTATGGTGTTGCCTACCAATATAGAATGCTCGGGCACGTTTTCTGGGCCGATCATCCTGTTCCATCGTCTCCCCTAGGCAACGAATGTCCTAGGCTTCTTCAACGATCCGTGACCCGGGAGGGTCATGCTGACCTCTGGAGTGGTAGCCGGATAAGTGGGAACGCGGCAGGCCTTACTCCTATTACTCGCTAAGTCCAGGTAGGTCTTTACGGCCCCTGGAGGTTCTTATCTCAACGGGGGCTCTCACAAAGATGAATGGGTGGAATAGAAGCGAGCACTGACTTCATTTTATTACAGTGCCGAGATGAAGTACTTCGTCAACGGGGCAGTGGAAATCGAAACCAAGCCAGCCACTCCTCTGAGTGGCCAAAGATGTCCAATAATGCAACGCGCGCTGTGTCGCATGCAGGGATGTTTGGAAGTAGTGCATTACAATTACTCTCGCTTAAAACGTATTCCAATAGGTTCCTGGATTACTCGAGACGAAAACTAATTGGTTGTTACTTGAAAAAGTGACCGTTACTCCTCCGATTATTTCAGATTTTCAAAACAACAGAGTTCTCCGCCGATTTGAAAAAAAAAAGCTTTTTTGAACTGTCTATTATTGAATTAGAATCACCTAATTATTAACTAATCACATGTTTTTAATCCAAGGGTTTTGGTAAACCATCCTCTCGTCCGAAATTTGGTTCAAAAATTCCTTGGTAGGAAACTTCAGCGAAGAAAGGTCGCCATTAGAAACGGGGAAAAAAAGAAAGTAACGGTTGCAAGTAATTTTAGTACTTCGTAAAGTAAACCGATTATTGCTGCGATTACTTTCTAATAAATGTAATGAAATGATTACAAAATTACTGCAAAAATGAGTCGGTTACAAATAATTTGATTATTTGCAAAAAGGTACCTTAGTGTGAAGAGCAAAATCGCGTCATTTCATCTTAATAAAGCCATTGTACTACTCCTACTCACACGCACCAGTATGAACAAAAACCACGAGGCCCCTGTTGATCTGATCCTGGGTGAACGAGAGCAGAGGAACCTTGGTATCGTTCCGGAGTGCCACGTAGCCGTTGCTGGGCGTCGAAATGTGGAAGCGGAGCTGGGCCGGCTCCGAGTCTTCGTCCACGGCGGCCAGGTGCGTGGACGAGATGGGCGACACGGCACCCTCCCACAGGTCCAGGCCCGTGTTGTTGGCCATGTACGGCGCCTCGTCGTTGACAGGCTCCACCGAGACGTGGACGGTGCCCGGCAGGCTCTCGCGGCCGGGGCCTCGAGCCACGACCGTGAACCAGTCTCGAGACGTCTCGCTGCCGTCGTGGCGATACCTGAGCGACACCACAGAGACCAGATGACGGACATATTACGGCGTCGGCTGTACTGGGATTGCAATGGACGAGTGCCGTGTTGCCGAAAACGAACGGAGCACGCGCGCGTTTATCGCAGGCGGCGTTGATGCCAAGAGAGGTTGAGTACAGCGCTGATACCCTCGCCCTTTCGCTGACGATAATCGCGGTTGACTTGCAACGTGTTCGGCCAATCGCGGTTTCGCTGGTGGTCATGTGATCGCGCTCCTTGCCACCCGCTCCTTCTCGCCTTCGGTCGACCGTTCCCTCGGCGCTCTAAATCTTTGCGCGCCAGCATGGACGGCCGAAGCATTTGCCGGAGTAGGTAATGGCTGCTAGGCGGCGTTCATGGGCCCGTGAGACAGAATGTCGCCGGTGCCTAGGCGCCTACACGGTCTCACCTTGAGTGTTAGGATGGAACGAATTCGACGTCAAGATTATGCTTTGCATGAACGTGAAAAGACACGTAGAAGAGAATGTTACCGAGCGAAGAATGAACACTCTGGTGCGATTTAATGATTTGTGCAGCACGTCCGCGAGAGCGCGTTTGGTGTCAGCTTTTGCTGTTCTGTGGGTGTGATCGGTTGTGGTTCGCGCGAGACATCGCGCGACGCAGAATCACCGGAATTTCCAGTCAATCACGACGCAGTATCGGCAAAATGTAAAACCAGCTGAAGCACTATCTATCTGCATCACGTCGCGTGACCGTCCACGCAGTTTGTTTTTTTTGTAATATTTGCAAACACTATCAGCGTTTACGACCACAAGCAATCTCTTGACTCCCAAGCGACTTCCAGTCGTTTTGCTTCGGCAGGCATTTCGGGTTTGTTTATGTCACATTTTCTAGGACGCTTACGTGCTACAAAGGCGACTTAGTTGGAGTGTTAGCAATAACCTACACGATATTAAGGTCATCTTACAGGAGTATTAAAATTTATCCAACAAACGTCTTGCGAACCAAGCCTTCGGCTAAGCACTAGAATTAGTGATAAAATATCTCATAGACGTTTCAAAAGGCCATGTTATGATGAGGGTTGTTTCTTACCGGGAGTTCGCGGGGTAGTAAAATGCAGCAGCACCGAATATACATGACTTGCACTGATGTCAGATCGGCTGCTATTGGTGCACAGTACGATTAGACAGATATCGTTCCGCAGTGCTCGTGGTTACTACTACTCCTTACTTGCTCCAAATACCAGTTTGTTGTTGTAAAAGAGTCAAATAAAAGTAAATAAATGCCCATGCTATGTAGACCAGCATCAGCATGGCAGACCAAATCCCGTCAGTTCAGGGCGATGTCCATGACAATTGATTAAAACGTATTCCACATATTACCCGTCAAGAGACAATCTTGATGTGTGAAATGCACGCTGCGAAAACTTTCCTCAGCATGATGCTCAACAGCAGCGGACTTAGCTGTGGCTACCAGTGAAAAACCACATCTATCGGTGGTGCTGCAAAACATCCTTCCGGTTGCAGATGTTTATAAAAATTTTTGTTCATGCCAGCTTTGGAATGAAACATGATTTCGTACCAATATCGAGCGGTTTCAGGCCGAACTCTGACAATAATACTGACCGGAGCTCGCCGCGGTCGAGGGCTTCTGGAGAGAAGGCCGAAGCCGAGAGGCGTCCATGCTGCGGGGGCTCCACCACCAAGAGCTGTGGCAGCAACTCCCGAAGCGGACCGGCGCTGATATGGGAGGAGTCCAGCGCCGCCTGTCCGCCCTCGGTCACGCTGACGTTGCCGGTGTCCAGCAGAATGGCCTGGGGCACCACGCGCACCGGTAGTTCCAGCTGGATCCGCGAAGCAATGCCGTTGGAGACTTCCAGGACGACGCGGTCTTGACTAAGGTTGCCAGAGTGCTGAAAGCGGACCACGCCAGAGTCGAGGTCGGCCTGGGAGAAGCTTCCAACGACGCGGTCTTCGACCAGGAGTCTGCCCGACAAGAGTGGCTGCGTAACGCTGAAGCTGATGTTGGCGGCATCGAGGGCAGGGTGGGTGACCAGGAGCATCGAAGCGTCCAGGACAGCGCTGCCTCCTGCGAAAGACAACGGACGGAGCCGCAGGGCAGCGAACAGGAAGCGTTACGGTCAGCTGCTATGCAGCGCTCACCATTTGGGCGAAACAAATGCTGAGTTACTGAGCTCTGGACGCATGCCCGCGTTTGTTATTGGCGAGGAGATCGAAATATAGGGGGCGCAGTATTATTATCCTCATCATCACCACAAACAATCGCTGTGTGGCAAACAACTCCGACGCAAGCACTCGCCAGTACGCCACGTCTTTTCCGCGCTTTCTGAAGTTGCTGCCGCCCGCAGTGCTCCAAGCATGCTTTTGAACCAGGTGCATGCAGCACGGAGGACTGCAGCACGTACGCGACGATGCGGACACTGTCCGCCGTCGGCTCTGCTGCTACGCAGTACTCGATGACATTCTCGCAGTTGATCGCAGTTGAGCACTTCCCCTACTTCAACGAGACACCGCCTGCTTCCGCGGAGGTCGTCCATGATTGTCGCAAGAGAGAGGGTAACTTAAAAGTGAAGCACGTGTTTTGCGAATCATTCAGAACACCGACGCCACGCCGGCCACGTACGATCCAGCGCGCACGGCCGACACGACGCGGCTCTCCCGGCATTCCCGCGCGTGACCACAGATGCGCTTGTTATTTCTTACAAGAGACCTTGGAGTACACTGAATGCAAGAGAAGACTATATTAATTTTATCTAGATGCGTTTACGCTAAAAGAATTGTGTTACGCGCCTTTCAAGAGCCTCGCGTAGACGTTTTCATGGCATCGAATACACTAATGACTGCGGTCGCAGGGTTTGTTTGCCACGCAGCGTTAATTCCCCAGGTGGCTGCTAGGGAGCACCACCTCCTCCATCTCCTCCCCAATACCGTACAACAGAGCTACAGCGCAAGCTCAGAAGGCCTTCCTTCCACAGCCCAGCAGACAAAGATGACAGCAAGCAGAAAGCGATTATTGGTCAGGTCTACAGCCCGTTCGCCTTAAGTCAGACCGAAAACGACGTTACGAATACGACGGAGAAAATCAAGCAGCGCAAAGAGTGCATCGCCCCGGAGCCCATTGTCTTTCTATGGTATGCTATCACCATCTAGACCAGGGGTGGCCAAGCTGCGGCTCTTCGCGTGCCAGAGTGCGGCTCGCGGCTCCCTCGTCTCCACTTCCCCCCACCCCGCCACCCTCCCGGTCACACGAGCACTTCCCCCAAAAGAGACATGGAACGCGTTTTAAATCGAAAGTCAGGTTGCGGTTTGGAAGTCTCGTGCTACTGCTACCTTGCGTACAGTTAAACTGCTTTTGACTGGGATAGATTGATAGTACTTCGAGTTTCGTTTATTGCCCTGGACAAGTATGCCCCCCCCCCCCCCCCCGGCTCTTGGAAGTTTCGTGGTTTTGTTTGCGGCTCTTAGGCCGGGTTTGCCTGGCCACCCCTGGTCTAGACTAATCACGCGCAGAAAAGGAGCGCAGCATCGCGGCGTCCTCACTGTGCGCGATTGGTTTAGTCGGTGGTAGCCAAACGCAAGAATACGACTAGCGCCGTGACGACCAGGCTTGGCAATTTCGTCTGCTTCTTTTGCAGGGAGTTGTGGTGACTTCAGAACGCAGAGCTCTGATTGGTTTTGATTGGAGGATAGTGGGTAGACCTCAAAGCAAGCTGCCTAGAGGTTTAACCACCATCCTTCAATCAGAGCAAATCAGAGCTCCACGTTGTTCTGACGTCACCGCCAACCCTGCAAAAGATGCAGACGAACTTGCGCTCCGCATTGATTATGCGCTTCGTTTCACCTTCAGTCAAGACTCATCCAAAGCTACGAATTCACGGGGTCAACCAGAAGCGCGCCATTACGGTGGTCGTCTTGTTCCCGTACGTGTTCCATCATCGCTGAACCTATACAACAAAACAAAACTGGCTACTGACTTACGCTTTTGACTCCGCTTAAGCGGTCCCATTACCTCGCAGCGTCTGCTGAATCTGGACTTGAGCTAAAACGAACTATAGAGGTTCGCGAGCGGCCGCGCTTCGAGAGCTAGTCCGGCCACCGTAGATGGATACAGCTTTTTTTTTTGGGCGCCAGTCTGGAAACCGCGGGGTACGCGGACCGCAAGTTCGACTGCCTCTTTTGCAGGGGTTGTGGGGACATCAGAACGGCAAGCTTTGATTGGTTGTGAATGAAAGAAAGTGGGTAGGCCTCGATACAGCTTGCTTTGAGGTCTACCTACTATCCTTTAAACGGAGCCAATCGGAGCTCGGCTTCTTTCTGACGTCACCGCAACTCTTGCGAAAAAAAACAACAAAAAAACAGGCGACTTGCTCTCCGCATACGCTTCACAGAATGCTCGACTACCAGACGATCTACCCACCACACCATTAGCAAGATGGCGGCGCCCAGGGGCCGTACTTGCGAACGTCTATATAGTTCCATAGGGTCGCATATACCGACGGCTGCGGTCGGACTTCATGTGAGACGCAGCCTAGGGTGTTCTACACACCACAATGCAATAGGAAGCGAGTATATTTTTTATAGCTGCCGATAGCCTGAGAAATGCGGGGCGTGGGCCATTACATTAATTATTCTCGCTTCGTGAACTCATTTGCTGCGGCGGAGCTGTAATAATTTGGTCGAGATTCATCACCGCCTACGTTTCTTATAGACCGTCGGCGACTATAGGAACCAACTAACTCTCTGACGTCACTCCACTGCGGTGGCGCTGCTGTCGGCACTGCGAATGCGCAGATGCCTCGCGTCGGGAAAAGTTGGTTTCTGCGCATGCGCAACGCCAACACCCCGTGTAAACAAATACGTTTTTTTTTTTTGTAAATTGTTTGTTGGTTGATAGGGAGTTTTCAAATAAGTAGGGCCGACCATGTCCGGTAACCATTTTCAATTTGGACGAAAAATAAAAAAAAAAGTTCGCATATGCCCAACAAAACATAATTCAACTTTGCTTTGCGAAAAAAAAAAATCCTTGCAAAAACTCATACACAAAAAAAAAAAAAAAAAACTATAGAAGCACGCTTTCTGTTTAAGCGCTTTCTGCGAATTGCTCAATGTTGGCACTTCTGGTGCCTTCCTGAAAACTTCTGCTGCGTCTGCGGGTTTAAAAAAATATTTTCCGACAAGATACATATAGTAAGGATTGATCCCAAGTATAGTTACCACGGAGCAACAACGCCGTTAGTTTGCAAAGAAAAAGCGCAAACGCGGGACACGGAGCAATTATGCTCGACTTTGAATATCTTGTTTTTCCGCATCTATACATGCTAGGAATTTCAAACCTTGTCGGCGTGTTGCGCCTTATATTTTTAGTTTTTGTGCTAAATTTTCTATTTTCCGGTCAGCGGGATCAATTTACGAGAAACGTTCAAAGGGGACAATTTTTAATAAACACGGATTATTTTGGGTCTCCATTAAAGAAAAAGGCGATCTTCGATTTTTTAAACTCTTCCAATGTAGGCTTATTTATACGTACTAACAGAATCTGGAAATACATATTGCGTAATTTTCTTGAATTTGATGTTATAAAGAGAGAAATCTGGCCAAATTGAGGCTACCGCAGTGCCGTACATAGCCGGGGTCGACGAGTTAAAGGGACCATGAAATGACCTTTTTACTTTTTCCAGATAACTTTTACATTAAACCGTCAATGTTCACTGAATGCCGAACAGGCATCCGTTTTCGTCTCGGTTTATTAACTTTTACACAAAAAATTATTGAAATATCGACTTTTTCATTCTCTCCAACTCACCGTGACGTAGACCGTTTCCGGAACCGGAAGTTCTCTCGGCAGTAGGAGAATGGGAGTGTTAGCGGCAACGAGTTGGGGTGCGCCGGTAGGTTTTACTGCGCTGATGTCACCGACGTATTTCCTGAATCGGCGCCTCTCATCGCCGCATCGCAGCTGAGCGAAATTCAATGAGATATGTTGCGCTACAGCGACAGCATGGGACTAGTCCCATACGCCGGTATGCCTGTTGGGAAGTGCAGCGAGTCTTGTCACCACCCCGTCATTGTTGGCAGAAGGGCCGGCCCGTGTCAGTCGTTTGCAAAGCGACGTAATGGCGTTTTTCGCGGCCTCGGAGATGCAGGAGCGAGCCGACGTTAAAAAAGATACGTTTGAACTACGAGTGTCAGCAAGAGCCACGTAAATACCTGTTTACACTCGGAGCGGACGCGCGCGCTTGATGGAAGTCTTGTATTCGCGCTGTTGGTAAGCGCTTCGGGACCGTTCTTTTACGATTGCAACTCGATACTGACGCGACACTCGGCAAAGAAAGGTTGGACCGGGGTCGACAGTGACGTGCAGTCTGTCAGAATAAAAATGGCATACCAATAACAAAGTGTACATACCGTGTTACGAAGGCAATCCATACGGCGTTTATTTCAGCTCTATATCACACAAAACAAGAAGATAGAATCGACGAGAGTCCCTTTTCGACGAGTGTTCGTCAACGCTGCCTCGGAAAACAAGGGGAAGAGATTGACCTCCTCACCTCTTAATCTAGAATTGAGGTCAGTGATCAAACTATAATACGGGAAGGGTCCACAAGGGTCGCGCGGACATATTCCATTTAGCACGCCAGCCGGTCGTAGGCAGACGGTCTTGCGACGAAGCAACGCAGCGCCGAGTCGGAATGCCTGCTAGGCCTATACGCTTCGTCGGAGTCGGTGAATCCAGCGTTCTTGTTCGTCGTGCTCTGTTTTAAGTACTGTTTTCTTGCTGCTTGAAGTCGGCACGCGCGGGAAGAACACGTAGAAAAATAAACGTTCAGTCAGTCAGAGTTTTGAGAGGAAGGAAAACAAAGAAAATAAATGTTCGTCGGTCGCCGTCACCCAAGTAACTGGCGGCCCTGCCCTACTGCGCACGCGCAGTAGTTGCTTCGTTCACCACACGATAGATGGCGCTTGGCTCTCAGCATTATCAAATTTGGCAATTTTCGCCACACATCTCTAATTATGCTACAAAATGTGGATCTGAATATTATTTAACAAAACTTTTAGGAAACATTCGCCGGCTATTTATTGTTTACGATCGCGGTGCTGGTGAGGTAGGCTCTTACCCAATAGGCGGTGTGGATTCGGCTGACGTGCAGCGATTCTGCGTATGCATCGTAGTGAACAGGCGAAGGAAGGAAGGCGCAAAAGAGTCCAGTTTTCTTTTAAAAGTTCTATAGCAAATAATTTTTTTGGGCTCCCTATTTTTGTGTTTTTGTGTTTCTTTTCACACCTTTTAGGACGTGCGGTGAATGAAACTCGATTTTAAAATCATTTCATGGTCCCTTTAATTCTTTTTACAGAGTGTAAAAATGCTCTGGGGTGGTCAGAAAGAAACAAATATTGACGACGCAAAGCCGGACGGTGTTCGTAAAGTGAGAAATTTTAGTGCGCTCCTATAAACCGTTTTATCGTGCGTAGTGCCATTTTGAATACTGTCGCGCCATCTAGCGAGTGTCAGGTTCAAAAACTATGCCAGAAAAAAAAAAAAAAAAAAAAAAAACGTTGGCGAAGGTGTTTTTGGGGCACTTGTCCCGCGTTGTTTGTGCTGGTTGTGTGCTCTAAAGTACTGATTATCCGACTTTGGCCACGCCTTGTTCTCTTATGTGCCGGGAATGGCGTTTTTTTAACTCCTTGGGGAACGCTTCTTGCTTGCGATGCCGAAAAAAGCGACACGGAACGCGCCACCAATAGAAACCAGAGGTGCGTATTCAAAATATTGTATCTGGGGGGCTATGTTGCGCTTTTTGCACTCCCAGGAGACTTGGAAGAGGGAAGTGACGTCAACGACACAGCAAACGCAGATTGGATGTTGACAGAAGAAAACGAAATCAACATCCAATCTGCGTTTGCTGTGTCGTTGACGTCACTTCCCTCTCCCTAGTCTCCTGGGAGTCCAAAAAGCGCAACATAGCACCCCTGTTTACAGCGATTGAATTTTCAGTCGTAGTAGAAACAGTACACCGAGAATATTTTTGGCGTTTCGTTTCGTCCACAACAATGAAATATAATAAGGACAACTATAGCCGCCAGGGCAGCCGCGTCATGGCGCTGATAGCACGGACCGGTCGACGGTCCGGCGTTTACCTTCAGATTGCCGGCGGTTGTACTTACACTAAATCCGGGGTCACACTGCTCATACATTATTCAAACAACAGCCTGCAAACACGAGTCACCGCAATATCATTAGTTCGAACGCCGCGTGCCAGGCCAACACAAAAATGCCCGTAAATGTCACAATGGGGTGTTATCATGCGACGTTAATGTGCCATTTGGTCGTTGGTTTTTGCTGTTGAAACATGTTAGGTTCCTCCTTGAAGTCATTGCCATGCGACATCCGAAGCACGAATCTCGCGGCGGCTCGCATATGTATGCAGACTGTCTTTTGTACGATGTATTAGGAGTGTGACCCCGGCTTAACGTTTCGATCCCACATTGGGCGGAACGCAAAAATCGGTTTCTCAACCTGTCGCACGGAGATTTACCACAGAGGTGCAGTTAGGTGTTGCTATTGTGCCGGGAGCGCGTCTTCAACTGGTGTGTTTAGTGCCTTAGGCATCAAAAGTAGGCCAGAAGTGGCAACAAATAACGTCAGAGAAACCGAAGTGTCATGCTGTTTGTTACATGTCGCGATCCTGGCGGTTGGTCGTAGAAATGCTAACGAGAAGCTGCGAGTAGCACGACCGAACGCGAGTGTCGCTGTCGTCACGGCGTCTCAACTTCTGGCTGCCCAAGCTTCCGTGGACTGCCTCACTGGAGAGCGACCTGCAGCAGAGCAAGCGCCTGCCACTTCCACCAGAGCTGTTGGGACGCCGCCAGGATTGCGACTTGCGATAGCATTTTCCTTTTATGACGTCATGTGGCAGAAATCGAGGGACAACATTTTTTAAGCCCGGTAAATACACCAGTCGCAGACGCGTTCCAGGCACCATAGCGGTGCACGCATGGAGTTAACATATCAACGGATAAACTTACCTCGTTCAAGGAAGAAAAAAAAAGAACCTGTTTCGGGCATTCTACGGCGACGTTTTCCGGGAGACGCAGACGGTGTTCGTTGACTTGGAGACGCTGCCGACAGATGGCGTATACATCGAAGGTTCGCGGGGCGCGCAGATTCGGGTTTTGATAACAGACGACTTAGCGAAAGTGTTCCGCTGCATACGCCACCTGTCGGCAGCGTCTCCAAGTCAACAAACACCGTCGGCGTCGCCCGGAAAATGCTGCCGTAGATTGCCCGAAACAATTTCTCCTTCTTTCTTTCTTGAACGAGGTAAGTTTATTCGTTGATATTTTATCTTCATGCGTGCACCACCTAGCCGCACCTCCGTAGTAAATCCCAATGCGATACGCTGAGAAACCGATTTTTCCGGACTGTCCAAAGTGAGATCGAAGCGTTGGTGTACTCTACGTTGGTGTACTACATGCTGTAGTGACAGTACACTCGTAAAAAAAAAAAAAAAAAAAAAAAAAACCAACAACAACAAGATAACAATTGTTTGAACCGTTCTTTTAAGCTGACAGTGCGGTGTGAGCTGCCGGACCGATCGACGCGCTTTTTTTCAGCCCCTGAGCCCAATCTCTCCGCGTGGGTATGAGCGGGAGCGTGATCCCGCGGCTACAGACAGATGCACGAGCACGTAGCTTCCACCCACTCTAAGCTTGGGAGTGAACGGAGTATGGCTCCCTTGCGACCCACCGCTGAACAAAACGTTCATTTTTTTTTTTTATTTTTTTTTTTTTTTTTACGTGGCCTGCACAGAGACGTTAGACGTCGGCTAAGGAAAACAGGCCCTGCGAAGCATGCGGCATCATAGTGGCCCTCGATTGCTCCGGCCCATGCGCATCTTCGGCAACTCTAGTACAAAAACGCATGTAGGATTCTGACTTTAAAACCACAGTCCGCGCCTCTGTGCCGTCAATTTGATTGTTTCTGACCCCCTCCGTGCCTTTTTACATTTAGTACAAATAATGAACCCTAGCTGTCAGTTAGGGGTACCGTACAGCCTCCAGATTATTTTAACAATATCGCGCGAACACCGACCGGCCGGTATATCAGCGCCTTATCTCCGCGCTAAACAGCAGGTGAGCCAGGCTACGCGCGTGTGGCAGAAGGCAGACGCCCTGCCTCGCTGACTTGCTGTTTCACGTCGGGATAAGACGCTGATTGACAAGGCGGTTGGCGTTCGCGCGATTTCGTGAAAATATTTGGAGCCTGCACACGCTCCATTCACGGCACTGCGGTTGTCTCAGTTTGGCCAGGTGTCTCGCTTCATAGCTTCAAAGACACGACAATAATGCAACGTGTTTTTGCAGATTATGTTAGTACATATCATTGAGCTTAAAGTTGAAGAGTTTAAAAATGTCGAAGATAGACTTTTCTCAAAATGACTTTCATAATAATTTATATTCAATAAAATGGCCCTATTTCTGCGTTCTTCATAAACTTGTCCTGATAACCAGGACGACCATATTTAGCGGAAAGACGAACAAAATAAAGGCCAACATGCTGGCAAAGTTTTAAAATCCTACCATTTTGAGAGGCGAAGGAAAAAAATATTAAAAATTAAGCATCATGGTCCAATGTGCCGTGTTTACGATTCTGTTTTTCTTTCAAAACAACGTTGATACTCCCTCCGTAAATACGTTGGGTCAATCCTCCCTGCGCGTAATTTGTCAGTAAATAGTTTTAGACACGTAGCCACATCAGTTGTTTTGGGGAGGCGCCCTAAATAAAATTGTAATTGTGTTGTGTGCATGTTTATATACAGCCGGAAGTTAGTCAGCTCATGTGGTTGTCTGGTGTGTTTGCTGTAGATGAAACATTCTAGCAGGGCAGTCCACCGCTGTTGCTAGGGGTCTTTAACGTGCACCAGGCAGTAGTGACACACGACGGCAAGCCCCGTATACGAGACTCCTCCAGATCGAACGAGGCACAAGTAAGGGTTGAAAGCAGGATCCCTGGGTTCTGCAGCGCGAGCTTTCGCTCCACGCACTCGGAGCTTCGACGCGCTAACGCACTTGGCCACCGATCCCTGCTTTGCCCGAAATGCGAACTTTGCGCAATCCGCAGAAAACGCTTCCAACTGAGAGTGTGCTTATACAATTTTTTCCGCACTGACAAAACAGTTTTTTTTGGAAAACGAAAGTTGGTTTTGTTTTGTTGGGCAATAAGTCAACAAATATTTTTTTTCTTCGTGAAAATCAAAAATGATCACCGGACATGGTCGGCCGAACTTATCTGAAAACACCGTATTGTGTATTACTTTTCACCGCGTGCCGGGCGTGGCGGAGATGACCTCCGAGCATGGGCGTACCAACCGGGGGGGCAAGGGGGGCGCTTGCCCCCCCTTTTTCTCAGAGTTGGGGAGCCAGGCATGTGTTGTGACGTCCTCCCCACTGCCCTGAAACAGCCACCACTGGGCAGGGCAAACACTGGCCGGCGGCGCCCAGGGGATACTAAGGGCACCGCACCCCGGACCTGGGGGGAGGGAGACCTGGCTTGCCCCCCCCCCCTCCCCCCCCCCCCCACACACACACTGAAAAACAAGTTAGTACGCCACTGCTTCCGGGGGCCGGGTACCTTGGTCGACGAAGAGGGTGCCGTTGCGGAGCACGTGGAGCGGCTCCCAGAAGTTGTCCGGGTAGACGGTGAGGCGGAACGTGGACGGCGCAGACGTCGTGTCGCCCAGGAAGGCGACGAACTCGAAGGAGTCCTGGTACGCGGACTCTTCGCCCTGGCCGCCTCCCGGGTCGGCGCTCTCGTACTCCACCGCCTGGGAGGTGCGCCAGGAAAAGAAGGTTAGTAATTACACCCTTCACACGGTCGTGAAGGTACCCTTAGCGAAGGGACCTTAATGGCCAGCGGCGAATCAATTCGCGACCTTCCGCGCTAGACAAGTGCTCGCGACCCAAGAGAGCGGCCTGATTTGCCAATGGCAAAGGTACCTACGTCGAAGGCACCTTTTTGCCGGCCGCGTGAATGGCGTTTCACTGAGAGAACTTTTAAGGCGAAGGAATCTTCTTCTATCAATTAAATAAATCAGTATATTTTTTTACCTACGGATAAAATAAAATTTGAAGCGCACAGGCCAGTAAGGCTTGTAGGTATTTGCGTTGTGCTATCGTTTTCTTGCACAAGAAACAAATAATAATGAAGACATATAAACACGAAAGAAGACATTTATACTACGAATGAAATTTAGACATTAACGATAGTTACAATAACTACAAAAAGGCATACAATAAAATCAGGTCTCTTATACATTTAAAGAATGGGTAATAGAAGGTTCAGTGAATCTTAGAATTTGGCTTACAAGCACGCATGCGAATTGTACAGTTGCAGTGGTTCGGTTTGCTTCAGTAACGGCATCCAACGGGCACACGCAAGGAACACAAACCGTTAAAAGTTTGGTGTGGACGTGATAATTTCTTTTCTTTTATATTTACACTTTTTATTATAAATACAAAACAAAAACAACGAGACTGTTAACGTTTATTTGTTTACTAAACATATGGGACCTTTAATAAATTGTATAGCACGTATATAAGTTCTTATATAATTTTATAGGCTCGTTTTTTTAAAAAATATTCATGCCATTTGGTAACGACCGCTGTCCTTTGTTGAACTATACATTTTCTTGTTGTTTTGCATTTCTGTTGCTGTGGGGGATTTTATGTTTAGAAAGTCTACCGGCAATTATGCAATCTCATAAGCACACAATTTTTTTGGCCCCTTTCCGTATTTTGTAATCACGAATGATGCAGTATATTTTTATTTTGTACCAACACTCTGTTTTTTTTTGTTATTTCCGATTCGTACTCGTTGTTGAGAAAATGCTTTTTTTTAAATTTATCATACTTTCATTTACCTTTAACATTTGTCGTTCCTAGTTTTTATACGCATGCTCTGCAAAATCGGAGTGGCAGTCGACGTTTAGAAAGGAGCCATTGCTTGACGTGACAGCACGAAACTGCCCCGTGACGTCAGATGACCTACGAGATGATGCTTTGATGTCACGTGGCACTAGGACTTAACCACGCGACACATAGTGACACATACCACGCCTTAGCAGTGTGTGCTCCCGCTGCACATGTTGTGCTCTCACTACCGTATCAGCAGGATTAAGATACATGAATATTTTCTTAGAGTGATCGTCATAAAATAATGACGAAGCGAGGAAGAGAGGTGCGGCGTGCCAGACCTGGGAGTCGAGGTCGCCCTGGCTGAACTGACGCGCCTCGGCGCCTCCGACGAGCAGCAGTCCCCGACGGGGATGGGACGTCACCTTGTAGGCGATGGCGCCCGGACCCGCGCGCAGGTTCGTCTCCGCCGACAGGTTGGCCGAGCTGAGAGGCGCAGCGTCACCGCGACGGACGACGAGTCCCGTGTTTCGGGACACCTGCACGATATCATTCATCCTTTTCAAAAGTCCGTCGAGCAACACTGGCAGCCGCCATTGCCTTTAAGGGGATAGTTGGGGGAGGAAATGGGCTTAGAGGGGCGCGAGTAATCATATGTTTGACTTTTTTTTTTACTTAGGCTAGGTGGCGCAAGCTATCGCCCGTGACAAAGGGTATATCCATTAACATCTATCCATCCATCCATCAATTGGCAGTCGCCCTAGTACGACTACGGTGGCTGGAACGCGTCTGCGATTGGTGTGTTTAGCGTCCTATTTCGCCCATGCGTCAAAAGCGACCCGAAGATGCAAAACAGATGACGTCAAGAAAACCGGAGTGTTACGTTGTCGGATGTAACCATCCTGGTGGTTGGTCGTAGAAATTCTGGCAAAACGCAGGAGCAAACGTGAGTGTCGCTGTCGTCGCGACGTCCCAACTCCTGGCTGCCGAATCTTCCGCGGACTGTCAAGTTGGAGAGCGAACTGCAGCAGATCAGGCGTATGCCACATCCGCCTCTTCTGCTGCAACGCCACCAGGATCGCGGCCGGCGATAGCATATGACACTTTTATGGGGTCATCAGGCAGAAATCGAGGGACCACATTTTCGGAGGCGGTACACACACCAGTCAAATACGTGTTCCAGGCACCATAGTAAAACTAACTCGAACACCTGAGGGACAAGTGGGACAAAAGAAAATTGGGACTCCTTCCCGCGTGTCTCAACCAGACTAGAACCGTATCATTGACCTGGACTGTGTTTTGATTTATGTGCCACCATATTTTGACCAGGTGGTCGTCCTGGAGCATCAAAGAAATAAAGCATTATCATTATTAATATTATTATGATAACGATATCAGTACTTATTATAATTAGTATTATTATTATTATCATAAAATGCGTTGAAATTACTTGTAACTGAATACTTTTCGGAATAATTTTAAAAGAATTTAATTATCTTTATAAGCTGGTAATTACAAGCGTAATGATTCCTTCTAGAAGTAATACAAATATTGCAACCTTTGTTATGTTTATTTCCTCTTCCTAATGACCTTAGGCGTATCTAAAACCTTCCTACAGCCCCACCAAGGAATCCTCGAACCAACTTTTTGACAGGGGGACGGTCTACCAAAAGTGATGGCTTCAGAAGATGAGTACACGGTAATCCGACGATTTTAATCTAATAATGGACAGAACGAAAGGCCCGTTTTCAATCCGATAGAAAGTTATGCCGTTTTGAAAATCTGAAGTAATTTGAAAAATAACGGGTAACAGTGACTTTTATATAAAGTAATCAAGTCCAATTTAATACTTTTTAACCACGAGTAATTGTAATTGTAACCGATAATTGTTGTTAGTGATACGTACAAGACGAACTGGGACTGACCCTGAGAAACGGTTTTGACGCCCTGATCTCGAGGACGCCGGAGGCGTAGTACTGGCCATCGGTGACCCAGAGCAGAGCCCTGGCCGACGGTGGGCCGCTGTGGCGAAACACAATCTTGCCAGCGTCCAGGTCCGCTTGGCTAAAGTGGTATACTTGGGCGCCCATGTTGTCCGCGTGGAAGAGGGCGCCGTTGGGGATGTCCCGCCGTGTGTACTGGATATCGGACGGTGGCGAATCCACGTCCTCGTACTTGAGGTCTTGGGACGTCAGCGGACGCTCCGAATCAGCGACAACCTGCAGACGTGGACGCCACACTGGTGAGAGGCACTTACAAGAGAAAAAATCAATAATACAATGTAGTTTAGCTGTTTAACATGAGGTCAGCAGTAGGTACTCCACTTCCAACGCAAGCTTTCTACCTTCCATGATACTTCGGCGCACGCGAAGTCAAACGTGCCTCAAGCCATCGTGCGCGTGGTGGAGGCAGAGCATCTATTACTGATGTTATGTTGCAAAAGACAAGGGTATGACAGCACTCAGAAGGCAGCTATTGGAATAGTCTCTATAGTCATTGACAGCATGAGAGCGGTCGGGAGGGGTTTCAGTTTTCCCGCTTCCAGCGCGAGCTTCCTACCTTGCATAACGCTACGGCTTCTTATAAGCCTCGCGCTTGCACGCGAAGCCAAAGTAGGTCTGAAGGCAAAGAGCGCGTGCTGGAGTTCGGAAATCGGAAAGAGATGCCCTGTCGTTCTCATCCTGTCAATGAATACACCCCGTCATGTGATGTTTCGCCGTTTAAAAATAGGCTTGTGCCCAGTGCAAGCGCGCATGTATACAAAGGGCCCAGTGCAAACGCGCATGTATACAAAGGGTTGGGGCCATATTACCTGAAAGACTCGGTCCACAACACGCACGGGAGGGTTGTCGTTCCGCATCGACACGGACACCTTGAAAGTCCCGTACAAGAGGCGTTCACCCTCTGCGTACGCCACGAAGTCAAACTCGTCCCGCTCATGCTCCGAGTCGTCGTGTCTGTAGATGAGTCTCTTGGCGTCCAGCTGGTCAGAGGTGAAGTTGACCACGGGTCGCGCTTCGACCTGGCTCAACGTGTCGTCAAGCAACCGCAGCTCTCCGTGACTCGGAAGCCTGGTGACATTGAACCGAGCCTGACGCCCTTGAAGAAGCGGTCTCAGTCCTCCCAGCGTGGCCTGTCCTCCTTCGGTCACGGTCAGTTCCTCACTGACCAGCACGGCATCCTTGGGAAGGTGACACACGCGAAACTCCTGGTCTCTCGCCTGGGCACCACCTCCGGCAGACACGTGAAACCGGAACGAGTCGGACACTCGGACTAAGGCACGTCTTCGTAGCTGGTACCGGAGGACGCCCTGGTCGATTTGCCGCTGCGTGAATTGGTCTCCTGCGCCCAGAGGACTCGGAGACTCCATACTTGAGGACATCGGGGTGGACGTAATTACGAGGTTTCCCATCTGAGGCGGCTGTTCCAGGGTGTAGACGACAACGTCTGGCGAAGAAGGAGAGGGCCAAGATGTGTACGTGAGATGCGCCGCGCTCACGACGCCCTCGAGGATACCCTCAAGCGTGAGCTGCTCGTTGTGCACGGCTTGAACGCTCTCGAAGGACAATCGAAAGTCGAAAGGTCCTTCCCTCTTGCCGGAGCTTGATATCCAGAACTGGAAGAGGTCCTGGAGACCCTCTGACGGGAGGGCGTCACCCGATGACGTGTCCGTGTACCGGACCTTGCCACGTACGATGTGTCGTTGGCTGAAGTGGCCCACGGGCGACCAGCGCCCCGTGCTTTTTAGTCGCTCGATAGTGCCGTGGCGAGGAGGCTGCGTTACCTGAATAGATTGGAACAGTACCCAATTGTCAAAAAGGGAAACTTTCCAAGTGCGGTTGTTCATATTTTACAGCGAATACAAGAAACGCTAGTTAACTAGACGGGTGAATACGGCTGATTTATTTGGATCGGGCGGAGGCTTCCTTCGAATTACAACAGCTAATATTTATTTATATATGTACGCTTTTTAACAAAACTTTCAGCCTTTTCGCTTTCGTGAAGAAGGAAGACCAGCGAAGCTGTACGCTCGTCCCGTGTGTTTCTTCTTCATCCTCATCTGTTTTGCCCGCTGTTTCCTACAATGAATTCACACCAACTCGCCCAACTATTCATTCTTCTATGATAGCTAGAAAGGTTGCCGCCATCTATGAGCAATGGCGATAGCTGTCCAGAGTTTTGTGTAGTTTTGTGTCGACATTTGTTTGCTACCGGACACGAAACTGGGGAAACAAGCCCTTAGGATCTCCGCTTTAAACTTCTCTCGCTATGACGGATGTCCCCCTCAGCAACAAGATGGCGCAGCTTCTGTCATACGACTCGTCAAGAAGGGAATAACAAAATAATTCATCCTTCCCTGTATTATGCCGCAAAATGGATAATTAGTGCTTCGTCATCTCTCCAACTGACCGATTTCCCCATCCAGTTTGGTTACGCCACCACTACCGCAATGCACTGAGGGAACGTTAGTCTTTCTGCACCTGCGACAACCTCGGTGGAACTCTGCGCATGCAGAGCATGAGGCGGCACGAGCCGTCCTGTGCACTGCAGTCTGCCTCCTGCGAGCTAAAGTTAGGGCGGCGTCACGCATGCGCCGAACGATTGCTGAGATCAGTCTATTTCAAAATCTGTTACTCCCTAGGCGTCCTTAAAGCCCCGTGTATACACTCTCCGAAATAGGGGGTATACAGGTGTAACCCCTTGTCCCATATGTAACACCTCAAAACTATATTTGGACGTTCAGTTTACTGATGTCGAGCTGGCAATGCCAAGTTTTACGAGCGGCTCAATAGCTGTTGGATATAACGTACTAAATAGCTAACGTGCGTATCAAAGACTAGAAAACAACTGAAGTTTTGCAGCTGGGCCAAAAAAACCTTGATAGTCTTACTGTAGCCTTTAAAACGAACATCAGCAATTTTAATAAGTTGTATCGGTCGACTATCAAGCCGCTCTTGAAAATTGGTATCGACGGTCCGACGTCTGTGGACTGAGCGTCGAATTTTTGTTCTGGGGTTTTTGTTCTTGTCCATATAGGACAAGGGGTGTACCCCTATACACCTCTTATTTCTTAAAGCGTATACTGGATTGGTCACGCCTTCTGCAACTGCAGGGTGGACCCCTTTAGAGTACAGTATCAATACAGTGGCTTAAAGGGGTAGTGTAACGAACGAAACCGGAGAAGCGGCACAGCGTTGGAAGATGGCCGCGGGTGGCGCTGGCGCTTGCAGCACCGTCGTTCCGGCTCTGGCTCCGGCTTGGCCGCTTGGCCAGCTTGGCTCAGGCCAGCTCCGGCCGATTCGCAGCTGTCGACTACACTGTCGTCTGCTAGTTTTACATTTTTATTCGCCTACGAACACAAAATCATGTCCTCGTAAGTTCACTGGAAACAAATAATTGTTTTTGAGGTATTTATATTACCTATGAAGCGTGTTAGGGCGCCTCTCTCTGCCGGCCGACGAAGGCACCCCAACGGAGCTGCGGATCGAAGCGCGCCCTACACCGTCTTCCAAGGAGCGGCCGTTCCCGATGCATGGTGGAGGCTACGCGGTAGCTACACTACCCCCTTTAAGCCACTGTAGTATCAAGTACTGAGCTGTCTCCTCCACATTTTCCCATTTCTAAAAAAGGCGGTGCAACGATTTCTGCTGCGCGAATACTGCTTAGAACGAATCCCTCACGTTTATGATAAATAAAACACGCGTTCGTTCTTCCCCCGGAATAAATGTCGTAGAAAGTAATAAAGAAAAACGAGCAGCGTTCACCCCTTCAAGTGCAGCCAGAACAAGCGGCTACGTGATCTGGCGCCGATTATGTGCCGCCAGTGTTGATCACAGCCACGCGCTCAGGTTGGCAAGGCACAGGACACGCGCTGAGTTTTAGACATTGGTAAGGTTCGGCTATTGTCATCATTGCCGCGATAGGACATGGGCCACTACCCGAGTTACTGTACCCGAATGCTTGTGGAGCTATTGATTATCACGAGCCCAAATCGAGAGCTAACCGCCGAATTCAGAAACCTCACTTAAACTACACTCAAACTGAAGGGCCCCTCCACTTCCTCGAGGAAGGTGCGAGGGCCGGTGCTGGCCAATCGTGAGGACGGATCCGCCGTCGCGATTGGCCAGCGCCGGCCCTCGCGCCTTCCTTGAGTAAGTGGAGGGGCCCTTAAGTTTGAGTGTAGTTTGAGTGAGGTTTTTCAATTCGGCGGTAAGTGAATGCTCGGGTATAATCTACGAGCCGCATTCCAACCCCGAGATTGAAGGCGACCCACACGCTGCGCCATTAAGTTTTGCAGAGGAGAGATTGAAAGAAGACGCTTGTTTTTATCCTTGAAATTGCACCGCAACAAAGATGTTTCTTGGTTAATGGCGTTGAGTGCGAGTATACTTGTTTTCTCGCTAGTGCCAGTAAACTCGTGTAAAGTAAAAACATTCCAATTGAATATCGTGGCACCGCCCCTTTAAAGCGATTGCCGAGTTTTTATTTGAGCATGAGCTATAAGAGCCCAACTACCCAGAAGACCATTTGCATATCAAAATTCCGTTTTTTTCCCCGCCCGAAAACAGCCTATCGAGAATCGGCCTGTTTCAGTCGCCCTCACTCTCTTTTTTAAGGTTACGTAGCGTTCAAACTATAGCGCACCAGATATATTCAAAGTAGTGGGTCATCTAAAGAACGCTATCAATATAAAAAAATATAAAAGAATATGAACCACATTCTTGTGACCTACAAAAAACTGGAAATACGTTGATTGAAAAAAAAAATCGTACAGATTACAGGAAGTACACGTACTACGTCATTCTCAATACGGTGACGCACCGCGGGCTGTACGACGCGATGGCGGTGCACGGCGGACCAACGATGCGACGGACGTAGGGCCGCTACTTCGGAACTGTCGTTCGTGGTACCGGTCATTCAATCTTCAAGCGTAGAACATCGAGCGGAAGGATATCAGTGCGGAACGATCGCACGAAAAAACGGTGCACGCAATTTCGTCGTCATCGTCGTATGCTTCACACGCCGGAAAAGCAGAACAAAAAGCAAAGAATAGGGGTCGTGTGTAGCCACGTGGTTTTCGGCAACTCTCTCCTCCTCTAAATTTCTCCCTCCTCGTCGGTCCACATCAGGCATCCATATGTCGCGGCCATGAGCTTTCGTGCTCATGTTTTGGGTTTGGCTTCGAGCTGCTGAGTTTTTTTTACTTTATTAAAATATACGTGAGCTGCTGCAGCAAGATTTTGAACGGGTATATCTCCTAACACCGTTTTAACCGCATAGCAAAAAAAAAAAAAAAAATTGGGGGTGTTAGTGTTTATTTTAAGTGGCCGGCGAATCAGCTCGTTATCTTGACTACGAGCATCGCCCGTGAACCGCACTGCCCCAAGAGTGGTGCGCACTGATAGGCCGTTCAGTTAAAGTAATTCCATGGAAAATACATGAAACTTCCCCATGTGGCAGGGGTATTAGCCGCACTTCGTTTTCCGCCTCACTGCTAGCTTCCCTGCTTTGAAAAAGTTTCCGTCCTATGTCGCCTTGTCGTCTGAAGCGCCATCTATAGGCTGCTTCAAAACATGCGCATTTTTTGTCGATCAACTCTAGTTACCGTAACAGCCGCCTCCAAGATCGTGGCACTCAGAACGATAGGTGTGGATCTGAGGAGAGGGGGGGGGGGGGGGGTTCTCCACGTGAAGGCTGGGTTTATGAACACCTCCACAATACAAAAGGCCGTGAAAGAAACGTTTTACAAGAAGGACAACAACCGGAACTGAGTTGAGCTAGTGACGCTGGGCTCTGTCTCGTAGCTAGCTGGAATCGTTCGATGCTGCCACTCACCTCGTAACGAATGTCAAGGCTCTGGTCGGGCGCGTTGGTCACCGCCGACAGGTTGGTGGTGCTCAGGGCTGTCCAGCCTCCGCGAGCCAGGACCAGTCCCGTGTTGTTGGCCAGGGAGAGGGCCAGGTCGAAGGCTTGGACCCGGAGCACCACGGTCTGCGACTGGGCCTCCGAGCCGCCGTCCGAGACCCCCAGGGCCACGTGGGACTCGGCTTCCCTTCCCCGGTGCACGAAGCTCACCAGGCGTCGGTCGATGTCTTCCTGTGGTGGAACCATACAACCGCACTGTCACACTACCAATGCATCTTATGAGGAACACTCTACAGACATTGCCCGAGGATTGTCTCTTCCTTATACGACGGTCCTGTGGTCATACAAAAGCTTGCTCGAGACGGCACTCCTTACTCTCTGCGCGAAGACAGCGCACCCATGTAAACGAAGCATCCCGGATCCGGAATCACTATAGCAGGAAAACCTGTTCCCAGTGTCTCCCACCTCCGTGTTCTTGGCCTCACGATCCCCAAAAACGGATCTGGTTTCCACACTATTGCACCGCTTCAACGGACAGTCTCCCTACTCATGCATCTAATACACCGTGTATCACATCGTAGATTTGGCATGCAAGAATCTGACACATTGCGCATTGTACAAGCCATACTCTTTAGCCGGGTCGCTTATGGCACGCCATATGTGTCCCTCAAAACAACCGAAAAATCAAAACTTAAAATTGCCCTGCGCCGAGCATACAAGACCACCTTAGGTCTACCTCCCAAAAACTTCAACGAAGAACGTGTTGCGACTAGGAATTCACAACACTTGGGAAGAGTTACGAGAGGCACATCAAATCTCCCAGTTAGAACGCCTCAAATTAACACCTACCGGACGAGCCACACTGAGAAAGTTTGGCTACGCGACACCCCCCATGCAAGACCACAAAAAACGCGTACCTACATAAGAAAAGCCATTCGTGCAGCCCAGATCCCGAAAAGCATGCATCCGGTTTACAATAAAACTCGGCGCATCGCTAGAGCACGAACCAAGAACACCAAATACGGCGATAGCCCAACTGCAAGATACACGACGCGTCCCCGTATCCGCATAAGCCAGCCCATGCTGTACGTGTAACCAATGCAGCAGGGCAAGAAATGACCGTCCTCACAGCCCGCACAACATCTACAGAAACTGGCGAAGAAATTGCCATTGCCCTAGCCGCAACGACAGGCGACCATATAATCACAGTGCTCACAGACTCCCAGGCAGCCTGTCGGAATTACCTACGGGGACGCATCTCCAAAACAGCGCTTCGCATCCTCAAGACCATCCCCCGGCTCCCCGAAGTACACCTAGTCTGGGTACCCGGACACGAACGCCTCGAAGGTAATGAGGCGGCACATGCCGCCGCCCGCGCGCATGCACACCGGGCCATTACCGAAGAGGGAACAACCTCACTTGTTGCCCCCACGACCGACCTGCTCATCAACTATGCCGGCATACCAGCCCACTACCGTTACGACCGAAGAAAATACCCGGCACCGCACCCAAGACTATCAAGAGATGAAGCCACCACCCTCCGAAGACTGCAGACCAACACATATCCGCACAGCACCCTTCTTCACGGCATCTATCCCGCTCAATACCCCGCCACCTGTAATTTTTGTCCTTCTCCCGGCAACTTTTACCATCAGGTATGGGAATGCCAACGAACCCCGGACCTCACTCCCAAACCCACCCCATCCACGAGCAGTGGATGGCCTGTCTGACCAGCCCGGACCCTGATATCCTGCAAGACCTGGTGACAAGGGCCCGGATAGCCAGCCGCAGCCAGGGTATCCCGGACTAAGGATGCCCTCCATCGGGCGGGTGCCCTAACATCTGCACCTGATGCTCAATAAATAAAGATTTATTCATCATCATCATCTCTTCCATATACGACGGTCCTGTGGTCATACAAAAGCTTGCTGGAGACATGCTTGAAGAATACACATGTGTAGCAAACGAGGTTCGAACATGCGTCAGGCGTTTCAGCCGATAATTTCGTCATCATGTGTGTGGCGAACATGGGGTTTCTTTTGTAGGACGCACGAGCACCGGGACTGCAGTTTCAGTAGGTCATTGCGTTAAATTAACGAGTTAACTCGTTAACAAGTTAACAAGACTTGGTAACAATATCCGATACTTCGCCGGAACCTTTACGAAAAGGTATTATTAGAGAGTTTTAGTAGATCGTTCCCATGACTCCGATAACGATACCCGATGCTCCGCCACCGCCTCCCTTTTGCATGCATAGTATCGTTATCGGGGCTATCGGAGGTATCGGAAGGATCTACTAAAACTCTCTATTGATACGGGCTCTCGTTATCAGAGCGTGAAACGATCCACTAAAATTATCAGCGAGCACACAGTCAAATATTAAAGGAATAATTATTTAAACTTGTTTAGAAGATATTAAACAGTCGTTAGTGGGAGTAGATAAGTTTCTACATTAGTTTCCCCACTGGATTTGGCGGGGAAAGGGACGCTGGCGACACTGGTTTACGGTGAGGATGAGAAATTTAGCCAGTGCAGTACGAATGCTATCCTGGTGTAGTGATACACGACCACACGCCCGTATCATGTTCATCCAGATCGGAACGGGCAGGGGTGTGGATTGAACGCGTCCCGGCGGCATGCGACGTGGTTATGTGACGTGACGTCACGGGCCAATTAGTCGTGGTATCGCGTGGTACCATGACGTCACGTGACGTCAAACTTTTCATTGGGCAAGCATGAACATTTTGCATGACGTGAAGTCACGTGGCGTTAGATCACATGCTGTCAATTTTTCCACTAAATTTAGCGGGAAAATGCACACACGGACGGACAGATGAACGGAAAAAATTCCGGGATTAGGGAGTTCCGTTAATAAACGTGCGATACTTTCAAACTTGCCCCTGTATTGTGTTTTGTTTCGCACTATAAGTGCTGACTCACACACTGGCGACTGCTTATGACCGGAGAGGCTATAAAACCGATTTTAAGTCTCTTGGGACAGCTTACGACGGGCTGTACGCTGTTGCGCGGACAGCGCCTACCTAAGTTGCCATCGTTGCCTTCTCGTCGTAAGAGGTCGCCTCGAGTATAGGCGCAGCCAATGCTGCTTAAGCAGTGCCAATCTATACAAATCACGCGCTGAAACAAAACACATTACCACTGTGGCTTCCCCTTGCTCGACTGGTCTAGTCTGTGATAGGTAACGCACAAAGACGACGGGATCTGTTACGTCACACCTTTGGTGCTGCTGGATTGTCTCCAGCGGTTCGTTGTGTCTTCTGTGCTCGGACATACTGTGAAATAGCGTAGAGAACTCGTGAAGCTGAAACAGAGAGCGTTCAAGTGACTCGCCTGTGTGAAGGACCTCAGCGGTTCTCCAGGCCTGTCGGCGTGTTCCATGAAGCCGTCCTTGTCTGTGTCCCCCAAGCTCAGCACCTTATAGACCAGCTCGGAGGGTTTGGTGTCCTCGTCGTCCGCCTCCAGCAGTTCGGACGTCAAGAGTTTGCGGGTGCCTTTTGCCAGTCGAAGCACCTTACCCGGCGGAACCTAAAATGCGAACGTTCGAAAAAAAAAAAAAAAAAAGTGCGATTTAATTTTTTAAATTTTTTTTATTTTTAGGATTTAGTTTTTAAGATTAAATATAAAATTGTAATAATCAGCGAGGCCTACATACTTAAAGGGTAACTCGGATGGAAAACGAAAAAAAAATGAATGACTAAAGTCGTTTTTGTGGCACGAAATGTGACCACAGCCGACATATTACTTCAGAGTGAAGCAGCGTACTCCACTGAAACCGATTTTAAAGATGCAACCAGCTGCTCTGTAGCTGGGAGCAAGCGGGTTAGCTTTTAGTCAAGCAGCACTGACGCAACACCCTTGTGACGTCACGTCGCGGCCGTGCGGATGATGATCAGAGTTGCTATCCCTTCAGCAGATGAGTTTCGGTTTGGTCCGTAGGCGCCTGAAACCGAACTTTGAGCCGTGATATTGATAAAACTACACACAATATCAGACAAAAAAGTTATACCTTGTAATTCAGGGACACTGCTTTAGCTGAAAGCAGACGTAAACCCAATTTCAAAAATATTTACCGGAGTTGCCCTTGAAAAGAATCGTGTTATTTTTTTAGAAGGAAAGAGAAGACTTTTAAACTGATGGAGTACTTACCACACCAGGACGAAGAGGTATGCCAATTCGTTTTTGTTATTGTCTTTGTTGTAACTATTGTATAGTAGAAGCGGTTGTCGCTAGTGCAAGTGTGCTGTCCTAACGAAGATATGTTTGTCCCCACTCTGTAACTACCCTGCTATAACGCTCTAGGGCGCTGCGGAGTAAAATAAAAAAAGAAAAGATAAGAGCAATTTTTTACGCTTCCTTTCTACGGTCCGTTGCCGTTTGTATAAAACGGCGAGTAACTTAACACATATGTATTGCTGCACCAGCATTGTGTCAAATTGTATCGCGAAGTCTTCGCTGCATCAGCAAGGTCAGCGCTATCTTAAGCACTGTCCAATAGCTCTGAGGGTGGGCTGTGGAGTACGTGTGAACAGGCCTTTAAAGTGGCACTGACAAGCCTTTCCGCCGCATCGTGTCGTGAGCTCTGATCGTTCAACTGGAACACAATCACCTCTGTACACAAGCAAAGCAGTGTGTCAATACAAAACGCTTGACACCTGTTTCATTACGAAGTTACTAAGACATAAACATTGATTATATCAACTCAGCGTTTACGAAACTTATGCCGGCAATGTTGCCTTCCAGTGTTATGGATAATCAATAAAGTAAGTGTCCATGCATTGAATTTGCAGCAACCGTCTTGGCAGTTCGGATGCAATGACACTCACCTTGACTCTGGGTGCGTCGTTGACGGGTGACACGAGCACATGAAGCACAAACCGTCGGCGTCGCTGCAGGGACGCCGGAAGATCAAAACTCCTGGACCGAAACTCCAGCTCAAACACCACCGAATCACCATGGTTCTCCGAACCGTCGTGCGTGTAGCGCACTTTCCGCGTCTCCAGGTCCGCGAAGGTGAACACGTTGTCGGGAGTCCCACGATGCCACACCTCGATCTCCAGAGCACCATGCTTCGGCGGATCCATGACGTGGAACAGAACGCCAGTATCCGAAACTCCCAACTCCCTGTAGTCGACCAGAAGCTTGATGTGCTCCGTCGTGACCACGTCACTACCGCCTTCTGCGACGCGGAGCGGCGCCAGGGCCAGCAGTTCGTCCAGCGACGCAAACACACGGTACGGGCCCGTAAAGTTGGCCCGGACGCAATCGTCGGCAACACTTTCACTTTCCTCTTCACCATCAGGCGCGCAGAGACAACGGAAGCCGTCTGTTCCGTCCTGTACACAACGGGCACCAGGCTGACACGGGTCCTGAAGGCAGGGAAACTCCCAGACGCAGTCCGGTTTCAAGCCTCGGGTCACGAGTGCATCTGGAAGCCCCACGGGCTTGTCATTGACCTGTCCATGCCGCAGGCAGCCTCGAAGGGAAGTTTCGGACTGTAGGCCGTGTTGTAGAACTGCCCTTGACTGCGAGGCCACGTCCAGGCCTCCCAGGTACAGGTGGCCAGCCAGATCGAAGAACTGGTTTCGGCCCAGTCCGGTGCGGAGGGATTGGACTTGACCATCGACACTCAGTTCTACGTGGGAAGGGCCAAAGTGTAGGCCTAGGCGGTGCCAGGCGCCGTCGCTGACTGTCGTCTCGCTGCGGAGGGTTACCACCTGGAGGATGTTTCACCAGGGTTAAAGATCCATACGCAAAAAGGAGCCCCATGTGGTGTAGTTAGTGTAAATAGACCGATCATCACCATGCGCCTTCGCATGCCTGACGCCACCATAGTATTATTCCACAGGAGGTTTTTTCCAGGCGCAAAGCAGTAGCGAGGCTTTCGCACGTGTAGAAAGACTAAAGTTTCCTCGATGCATTGTGGCAGCGGCGACGTAGCTAAACTGGCTTGTGAGCTTGGTTTATGAGCATGTTTTTTCCATATTAAAGGCTTCTCGTACGGATAGTGTTGCTCGAGAGACACTGATCGCGGCAAGATGGGAGTCGCAAACCTAAAATAAGATCTCCGATTGTGGCAATCAGATATATCTTTATTCACCTGCGAATCTTTCACGAAGTGGCTTCAATAACAACCGTTCACTTACCTGGATGACCCATTTTATTGTCTCTGTGACGTCTCTTGCAACTTTTGTTGACAATTCATTTTACACAATCTCGCAGACTTTGTTTTCGTTTTATTCACCGAAGCTAAACAACAACCCCCGAATGTAAAAATACGTAGCCAAGTTGAATGCAGATACGTATTATCCACAGATGCGTATTATCCACAGATGAAAAACGGCAAAAACCAACCAACATGGCGGCTCCGAGTGGAATGATGATGATAGCTGAGAGGAAGTTTGCATATGTTCCGTTGAGATGTCGTTATGCTTCATAGTGAAGCCTCTGCGTTTACTAAATATTTCTAGATCTGCGGCTTTTTGTGAGCCAAACATTAACACTTAAGCAAATAAATCAAGCGCGTGCACGACTCTCTTTTTCGAAATTTAATCATCAATGATGTTGGCGGTATGAGTCACGATAAACTTTTATGTGTCGTGTTGGGGTTTCTTGACGTAGCCTAAGGGGTTTCGATTGCGTTAAAGAATACGTAAAGTACAATCGCGGACACTTCAAGCTATTACAGCCTTTTATGTTTCTTTTTGGCATGCCTGCCAGTTTGTGATAAAAGCTTTGGTGTACGCTTGGGCAGCAACGCAACGTTTTGTCCCAATCCTCGGACTTTCTAAGCTCACAAAGTTTCTGGGAACTGGAAGCGTAGAAAAATGCGGAATACGGTGTTTCGGCAGATATTATCTGAGATGGGTCTGTCGTGAATTCCCTGATATGAACCTTGTTAGTTTAAATACCCCAATGTATAGACTAAAATTTCCGGGGCGAACTGGGTGAATACTAGTGTTGGAAGTAACGTGGCACAACGTAAACGACGTTACTGATACTGCGTGAACATTTTCAATAATATCCCAACGTACTGGTTAGAATCTGAAATTACTAAGCAGAATAATAATTTTGGCATGATTTAATGGCATTGTGTACAAAATTGTTTTACTCGTTAATCGAAATTGTTGCTTAAAGTAAGTCGCGTTTTCGATTCCATTAAAATAATTAACGCGTCATCGAAACATCACAGGATTTTACGAATTTAATAAGCGAAGAATAAAAAGACTATAATGAAACTACTTTGTAACACCTGAGTTTTGTAACCGCTTCTTATCGCAGCTAAATAATAATGTTAGAAATCAAGCTAACCCGAACCTATATCGAAAGCAACGTTTGTCAGGTTTAGGCGATAATGTTAAGGGTATTTCGTTACATTTTAAAGACGGTAGCGAATTTGACGTTAGGTTTGACAGGCTATCGAGAAACGCAATTTTGTTACTTATGCGTATTTTTGTACCGGCCAAAGCACTGAGAAATACATGTATTTTTTATTATTAATAAAAACAAATAAAATACTGAAGTTCGTTTTTTTTTTCTGAACAGAGATGTTTTTAATAATAAAAAAAATAACTGTATAAATAAAAAAAAAAATGAGCTGAAACAGATTTCGATATTTCTTTGACCCTACGTGCCAATTTCCGAGAAAGCACAGGCCTGAACTATGAATAAAACACGAAATTGGGGTCTCATTATTCGTACTACTCAATAAATTGAGAGATGACATAGCCTGTGGGGGCCGCAGACCGCAAACAAAATGCCAGTTCGGGTGTTTCAGCTCATAGTGTTCACGAGAATACAAACGCCGACTTATAAACAATCTCAACCATTATCTTTTTTTTTTGTCCAGAATCCCCTCTTGACCGGCTCTTGCTAAGTGGAGCTTGATTTCGGCGCCTATTGCGGAGGTGTTTCGCGGCAAAATGCGAAATGCAGCGCGGCAAGGCAGAAGCCACCGGGTCGGCAAGTTGAGCTATCAGTGTGCGGGCGTTTGACAATAAGTTCGCAAGATCAAAAACAACCCGAAGGAAAAATCCATCAATGTAACGCTGTTTGGCAGTCAATGTTTTCTAGTGGACCGCTGACTGTGCCTGACTGTACGTCAAGCATGTCTGATTGGACAACAAGTTACTCTGACCGACAGTCAAACTCCAGTCAGACCCCGCTTGTCGGCTTTCTGATGGTTTCCTGGTGGCAGTCGGCCGCCGCGAAATGCCATCAGGATGTCCTGGTGGTGATTCTGACTGTACATCGATTGTCTCTGACTGTACGTCAGAAAGCTTTGACGTGCAGACAGAAGTACGGTCAAAGGGCGTAAAGTTCGTTCGGATACCACTATTTCGTCAAATCTATGAATACGAAAAGTAATCTATGCACGAGAAAACGAAACCGCTGACGTTAGAGATGTGACACGCAACCGACCGACAACCTTGATCAGAAGCCCGCCGAAGCCGCCGAAGCGTCGAACGCGACACTTCGCACTTCGCTTCGCCCATGGAGGCTTCGCCGAGCTTTCATGAACGATCGCTCTCGACTCGTTTTGTTTGCCCGCTTACTCCAACCTGTCGATCCTGCCCGGGCTCTACAATGTCTTATGTTTTAGTAGAATTTCTACTCGACAAGACCCAGCCTGTTGTGAGTTCCGACGATGTAAGGGTCTTTAGCGGTGTAGTTAAAGACGGCAATGTGTACCAGGTCTACTGGGCCGATGACGCGCGAACAAAAGGATCATTCTACGACGCGAAAGTACTCTACATGGCAGGTGAGTGGAACTGAAGTACGGCGAGTGATGTACGAGTGCTTTCATAACATGCTGACGGCTTAACTGCATTTGCAGCCGAAGCATCTCGTATAAAACGAATAGTCAAATCGAGTGTCCGTAATGGTGGCGTAGCATAGTGGTTAGTGTTTCCGGTTTGTACGCAAGCGGTCGCGGGTTCAATCCGGGGTGGTCCTGCTTTTTTTTTTTTTTTTTTTTCTCGAACATTTTGTTTTATCGAGGCATTTGGCGATATTTATGAGTGCGTATAGCTTTACTCTTATATAAATGCTGCCCTTGATGATGAAGTTCCCTTGGCAGTGGCAGTCAGACGTCATCTGATGGACCATCAGATGACGTCTGATGGTCCACCACGTTCCACCAAGGCTGCTGACTGGCAGTCAGTGTCCCAAATTACGTAGCTTGATGGAATTTTCAATAGGGAATAGGGTTTTTCTTAAAATTCTATTTCACCAAACAAACAACGCCGAAACCGGTGTTGACTCAGCAATCCTTGATCGACCAAGTGAGGATTGACTAAACGCTTAAATGCCGCTCGAGCATAAACCGGCCTCGATGATATCTCGTCTTTCTTTTGGCAGATATCACTGGTGGCAGGGTGGAGAATAAAAAATCAAGATATAAATGAAACTAATTTTTTTTTATTACATAAAGAAAATCTTTCGCACAAAAACGAAATCCCGAAAATAATTTTTATTCACCGATGTTCATTATTTTAAAATATTTATATGCATTTGTTTTGTACTAAAATTAAAGAATCATATCAAGCAAGAAATATTTATATCTGGCTGAATACGAGAAGAAAGCAGCTTTCTTCTGAGCAAATCGGAGCCTCGTTCTACCTTACACTTTGCTTGTCAGTTACTCAGTGTCATTTTGCAAGCAAATCAAAACGCGAAACACATAAACAACAAAACAAGTAACGTCTTATTGCAAGCACATGAAAACATGAACAATAAGCAAACCTACCTACCTAACTAAAAAAAAATTGAGCTGTTTTTGTTCCGGCATGGCGAGGTTACATAAAAACAAGTTGCGAATTAAACTGTACCTTAAAGTTAAAGTAATCTTTTTTTCCGCATTGTTTTTAATGATCAGAATTTGATCAATAAACCTGCCATGTATAGAAACACAGGTAGCGATATAGAATTACTATTTTCTAGCTACAGTGGTTCAAGCCCAAGTAAATGTGATGTAAATAGAATAAATCGGAGTGAAATCACATTGATTTGATCTGGATCAAATAAATCTAATTTAAATAAAATAATCTCGATGTATTTCATTAAACAATTATGATTTTTTTTCCCCACTGACTCAAGGTCTTCCGAGCCACGCACTTGCTTGGCCATTTGTTTTTTATATCGGTCGCGACTGCACATGAGTATGTCGAGCTTGTATTGCAGAATTCTGCCTTACCCCGTTTCCCTGATTGAGCGATGCGATAGGGTGTCCCTGGACGATTTCCAAGGCCACGAAGTCCTCCTTGGACGGCGGTCCGGCGCAGTAGGCGACCAGCGCGAACTGCGCTTGGGTGCGCACCTCGAGGGACAAGGAACCGCCCGTGCGGGCGATGGGCCGCGCCAGGGCCAAGAAGGCGTCGGCTTCCACGAGGCTGAACGCCTGATCCACGACGGCCGAGAACTCCCCGGCACAGTCGCCCCAGGTGACGCCTTCCGAGGACACGGCAGACTCGAACAGGTCCACGTCGTTGAACAACACGTCCGCCATGCACCTGCGTTGCCAACAGAATCGCTCGAAGATGAGTACAAGGTCTTCTGCGAGAGTCTTGTTTTATCAACACCTCCTCGTCCCCCATAAGACAAGAAAAGGAAAAAAAAAATCAGGTTTGTTTTTAGACAGCTTAAGGTCAGTCTCCCTCAGTCAGAATCATTGAATCAAAGTCGGCGTCCGTTCACAGCCCTCTCAAAGTATTCACACTGATCCACTGAAAATAAAGGATTGACCTTGAAGTTGAACTAGGATTACGAGTTATATATATATATATATATATATATATGTTTTTTATGTACGAAGTCTTTTAAGTCATGGTCACACATTTAACACGACGCTACTTCAGCGTTATTTTGTCAGCGCTGGAAACAGCGGTGTCCTTGCCGGTGCAGGGTTGACTCAGCGCTAAATTAGTAATGCAGCATTGATACAACGTTGGATCAATGCTAAGTTGCATTCGAGTGAGCGCAGCGCTGCAATGTGCAGGTGTGAGCCGGCCTTTTTTTCTGCAATGAGACGGTATGGGGGGGGGGGGGGGGGCATCTAGCCTTCAAGTTTTGAACAGCGCCTCTCGCGAGAAAAATCGAATATATTTAAGTCGCGCTTCGATTGCGCGTTCTGAAAGACACTATTAAAGAAAGCATTAACACAACAGCTGAACGGAATGCGCTCTTGGTGTGTCGATAAGACGCCAAGGTCACGTGCGGTACATTTCTTGTCGATTCTATTTTGTTTTCTTTTACGCGCCTGAGTAGACGCACACAGACACTAGTATTCGAACGTGGCCCGTTCATGACCGACCGCTACAAAGCCGCGTTTATGGTCGTGTCTTGCAGACGCCGAAGCCAGCATCACGTTGTCTCGTCGTGTGGATGCGCTCGTGCCCCCTGGCCGAGTGCAACAAGCCTATATGCTTCCTGGGCTGAAGCTCTGAACAAAATGTGGCGCCCACTTTTTTGGGTAGTATAAGCTCACCTGATTGGGCCTCGCACTACTCATGGCAACTTCGCTGAGCTTTTTCCTTTTTGTGTAGTGCTGAAAACGGAAAAGCACCTTTCGACGTTTGAAGTCGGCTAAATTAAACGCCGTACGACAATCAAAAGTGCAACATTCATGCCCCACCTCTAGGGTACGCGTCTCGTATCTCTGGGTGGTGACGTCAGAACATCTAGCATCTTGACGCTTTTTTCTTGTATGTTTTTGGAACACGTTGACCGGGGTTTTTTTGGCTCACACTTCCAAGCCACTGTTATACCCCGACGTCGAGCGTAGTAGACGAGGCGTATAGCGCAGCGTACACAGAGGCGGATTGATCGTAGATATCGAGTTCCTGCGTTTCGGCCCATGAAAGGCGCGCGTTCTGTGCTACGCTGCGTTCGCTGCGCTCAACATCGGAGTATGACCGAGCCTTTAGCGTCTCAACTTTAACCTGTGCTTCAACGAGGTTCGAATTGTTTTTTTTTTTGTATTTCTTTAGGGATCGCTTCCCGCACCAAAGCAGGCAGGCTTCTACGTGTGTGCCAGATTGAGACGCTTAAGTTTGTATTCACCAAAGCAAGTCCTAACATGTCCGTTTTCGTAGCGCCTTCTAGGCAATGCTGGAGGTCCATAGGATGGTATAAAAGCGGGTTGCAATACGATGGGCTTGAGCCGTATAGACTAAAATAATTGGTAAATCTTTTGAAGATTCCGACAGTCTACCATCCACGGCTGGCAGGTTGGGAACTGGGAAAAGGCGTGCTCTACCGCCATTTTTGCGATTTTTCACCAGTTACGAGCCATGTCCGCCCCTCGAAAAAGTAACACGTCTATATCTGTTATCGAAAAGTGGACCTGGACTGTATATTTCACTATACATTTGACCGCAGCCAGCGCTTCAGTCCGATATGGCAAAGCGAACAGTGCCAAAAGTGGATAGTCTCGGCGCTCGTTTGCTTCGTAGGTTTGCTTTCGCTCCTGGCCACAGAAAGTGAAGTCAAGCGTGGCCCAGAACAGTTTCTCGGAGTCGGCAACGTCGTCCCAACTCACCCGCGAAAAGGCTGCAGATGCCCCAGGAAGAGGTCTTGGAAGTCTCCGAGACCTCCGGCAAAGAGCCCCCACTTGACGTCCAGCTGGACAAACCGAGGCGGGAGGTCCAGCCTGGACTCGTGCAGGCCGTCGAGGAGCAGGAGCGTGCTGGAGCCGTGCCTCTGGAGCGACAGGGCGTGCCAGAGGCCGTCGTCGAAGCGGACGCCCGGAGGGCTGTCCAGCGAAGCCGGCTCGCCGGCGCCCAGCTCGAGCCGGAGTCTGAGGCGGCCCGCGGTCAGCTGGAGGAGCAGGTGGTCGTCGGGTCCGGCGGCCAGAAGGAGCAGGCCGTCGGGTCGGACGGTCTTGAAGCGCAGGCTCAGGTCCGTGCTTTCGCGGGCGTCCTCCAGTTCCAGGGAAACGAAGCCGTCGCCCAGGAAGGACGCCTCTACGGGAATCAGTGAATACATATTAACAAATCAATAAATCAACCAATCGACCGGTCGATTACCCGAATGTACAAGCAACCAATTAAACGAATAAGTAATCAGTTATATAATCGATTAATTCATTTTACTTTTCACCCTTCATACATAAGATAAGATAAAACAATTTAACCGACGAATAAATGAATGAATCAATCAATCCATTAACCCGTAAATAAATAAATAAACAAACAATTAATTAAATAAATCGAGCAATAATCTAATCCCTTGTTTAACCAATTATTCAATCTTATTTAGTTTTTAATTTACGAAAAAAATAAACAAAGATACCCAATTAAAGAATGAAACAATTAGTGAATCAATCAATCAATTCAAAAATAAATCAATATTTCAATCTGGTAATTAATTATGCAATCGCTTATCTAATTGATGAACAACTCTTACTTTTTCTTCACTGATACAGGAGGCAAATGAAAACATATTACTAATAAATTAACCGATAATACAATCAAGCAATAAATCAATTAGGAAATAAATAAATCAACCGGCCAATCAATCAATCAATCAATTAATTGATCAATCGAACAATCAACTCACCAAACAATATGTCAATCGGTTATTTACGCTTTAATCAAATTTCTAGTTTGCCCTTGATACAAAAGAGTGAATAACTATATTGCAGGGTTGTGAGAATATTCGAACATTTGAATAGTAGTTTCGAATAATACGCTATTCAATATTCGCTTCGAGGTACACTGATATGTATTTTTCGAAATGTTAATCACGGCATTTTATCTCGTTAAGTGCGCTTCCCACCACGGACCGGCGCACAGCGGAGAAGCGACACCCGCGGAGTTCGCTTCCGCCGGGTGTTGCTTCTTCGCAGTGCAACGGTGCTAGGTAAGACGCGCGCTCAACGGGACTGAAACGCTGCAGTCGACACTTGGAAAAGTACAAATACTGCAGCCGCGTGCTCAGCAGGAAAGAAGACTATCAAAGGGGGATGGTGCGTGTGCGCGCCTGGTGTAAACAAAAGGAAACGGAAACTTTATGCATCTTGATAATTACACTTTAAAAAGACAAATTAAAAAAAAAAATAAGCTGGCTGGTTATGCAGGAGTACATGTTAGGGAGAAATACCCGGACAACCTGCATCAATCATTCGTGACAGAAAAAAAGTTTTTTGTATTAGAAATAGATTTTATAAGTCTCCTCGCTTAGGTAGAGTTGGGCACGTCTATAGGTTTAATTTTATGTCAAATGCACTGTTTACATGCCATCTCAATGTAGGCATTGGGATTTCTGAGGTCTCAGTCGATAAGTATAATCAGAATAAAATTAACTTTGCACAGAAAGAAAAAGGAAGAAGAAGTGTTCAGAGCAAGAAGCTCGATTTTTCGCTCCTTCTAGAACCAAACGCTTTAGGCCAGTTAATTAAATTTTTCATCTCGAACGGAAACCATCTACCACCAACAATTTTGCTCGGCGGCAGCCCGCCGACCGCAAATGGAGGGCCAACCTCTTCTGTGAGTAGCAGAAAGCGTTTGACGCCCAATCTGTCTGACAAGATGGACGCCATAAGCGACCACATAAATTCCAATGGCCAACAGGAGGATGGACGCCCGCTGCTTCACCCTCTTCAATTGGTTCTTCAAGAAATAAGTGGAACAGTATCGGACGAGAACATCCCATCCAAACGAATTCGTACCGCCGATGTCGAGAGGGACCAAGGTGAGGATAACACCTCATTATATTCATTGAGGGACATAACCGATGAGACCGACAATGACGAACCGTACACAGTCATGACATACCGAAAAAACCGGGAAACAGGAATTCCCGTAGTCTTCAAGCCAACAACACAAAACACGTCCTTCTGGCGTGTAAACCCAAACGTGCTTGCCAACGAGATCATAGCGGTCACACAAGAAAAGATTGTCTCGCACAAAATCAACAAAGAAGGCAATCTGTCCGTAAATGTTTCATCCCTGGACTCGGCAAACAAGCTTCTCGCAGTCACCTCTCTCGGAGAGATTCAGGTAACTGCTCATATTCCGGAGGCATATTCCAGGAACTATGGAAAAGTAAAACACGTGCCACTCGAATACAGCAACGATGAGCTCTTGGATTATTTAAAAGACTTTGGAGTCACGTCTGTTCAACGTCAAGTGGCCTACCGACGCCAGGACGACGGAATTGTAGAACAACACCCTTCAACTACAGTCGTCCTCACATTTCGGACGGACCGAGCCATGCCTCAGCGCATCTACCTCGGATTCACAAGCCATCCCGTTGAAGAATACTTTGGACAGGCAGTTCAGTGCTTCAACTGCCAAAGATATGGACATCTCGCCAGGAACTGTAGAGGAGAGCGTCGTTGCAAGGTGTGTGCAGGACCACATAGCCACAAGGAGTGTAGCTCCAGAAAAGAACCTAAATGTGCCAACTGCAGCGGCAACCATACATCCACATATTCTGGATGTCCGCGCAAAAAGGTCGTCACTGCTGCAAAACAACGTTCTATCATCAACGGAAGGCAAACAAGACGCCGAGCTCTGTCACCAAATCCACAAGTTGTTCGCCGCCAAGCGCGACCAGAACATCCCAACGGAGAAGCACCAACAAAGAAAACTTACAGTGAGATCCTGAAGCGTCCTCGCATGGTTCAGAAAGATCAAAGAAATGCACAAGAGGACGACTTTCTTCCCTTGGAGGAGCGTCCAGGGCGGTCGACAATGCCAACACCCATACCAGCACCTCGTCGATCTCGGAAAACTCAAGCGCCTCCCGCTGGAACACCAGCAACATACCCAATGTCAAACCAGTCACAGCATCCACGAAAACAAAAAGATCTTGCGCAGGTACTCCTACCCCTGTTATTTGTGGCGTTAAAGGCTATCATACAAGAATACCCTGGGGCAAACAACATTCCAGAAGTAGAGGCTCTGCTTACTATGGAGCGATTGATAATTCCCATTAGCGATCACCGCTATCACAAATAGCGTACGTCAGTACAATGGATGAACATTACAAGAAAGCCTCTATCATACAATGGAACGCAAGAGGTTTGCGATCACGACTTTCTGATTTCAGACAACTCGTTTATAAATATAGCTTCCCCATCATTGTAATCTGTGAATCAAACTTACCTAAAGACATTCAATTATCACGGTACGAAAAATTTGACTCAGCATGCACTAATAGTGCAAGTCGCGTGACAATGTTCATTCGAAGAGATCTTACATATACCGCACACGTCGTTTCAACCCACCCGACCAACGAATATGTTTGCGCGACGATTTCAAATGGGAAAATGAAGTTCACAATAATCGCAGCATATATACCACCAAAGTCCTTATTTGACAGGCAGCATTTGGAGTCTATCCTAAATACAATGCCACCGCCATTTATTCTAACAGGTGATTTTAATGCCCATCATCCAATATGGGGGAGCATTCGGACAAACCTGCGTGGAAGGCACTTGGCAGAATTAGCCGACGATTACCACTTATCTACCATTAATGACGGAACCCCGACGTATTTCTACGGAACGGAAGGTAGCAGCTGCCTCGACTTAACATTTGTTTCGGCAGCACTAACATCGCAAATAACATGGTTTGCAGACATTGAAACTCGTGGTAGTGACCACGTACCCATATACACAATAATTAATGGGTTCACCAATGTCCAAAAAACAAACTTCCTACGACGAACCAACTGGCATATGTTCGAAGAAGGAATGACGAACGAATGCAAAAATGTTACTGAACTATCTCACTTGGAAAAGGTCATTGTATCCTGTGCAGAAAAAGCAACACGTGATTTTAACGTCCCGTCCACGCAAAAAACAATTCACGCAGAATACGAGCGCCTCCGCGCTATATCGTTGGAGGGCAGAACGACGATCCAGGAAAACTAAAGACATCAAAGATCTCAGCGAATTGCGCAGAGTGCAAAAGAAAATCTGTCGTCATTTTAAGAAGCTAGCTCGACATTGCTGGAGGACGCTCTGGGAAAATATAGATCCCAGAAAGCCATTATGTAAAATATGGAAGATCTCACGAGGTCTCAAATCTTCTCCTTCGCAACTGCACCCATTTCGCTCTCTGGCGCTATCAAGAAATTGTTCAGAGAAAGAGGTGGCAAGCCAGTACTGCATTTTGTTGACAATATACACAACCCTTTCGAGCCAATCTCCATCTCGCATCACAGTCGAACCAGTACTTCGTGAAGCAGCTATGAACGACCTTTTCACAATGAGCGAACTCGATGCTGCACTGTCTTCAGTGAAACCTCACACCTCTCCGGGACCTGACGGCATACAGTACAGTTATTTGATACACATGGGGAAGGACGCGCGAAAGCTTCTTTTGAATATATTCAACTCTTCATGAATCAATGAAAATGTTCCTGGCTCGTGGAAAGAGGCAAGGATTGTGCCACTTCTCAAACCGGGCAAATCGCCACTTCAATTAACTTCGTACCGTCCTGTCGCGCTCGCAAGTTGCATTGAAAAAATCATGGAAAAAATGATTCACCGCCGTCTAGATTGGTATCTTGAACAGCAAGGGATATATCCAGAAATCATGCAAGGTTTCCGTCGAGGAGGGAGCTCTATCGATGGAGTCCTTGACCTTGTAACTTACATACAACAGGAGCGAGCACATCGTAAATTCACAATAGCGGCTTTCTTAGACATCAAAGGAGCATTCGATAATGTCACTCACGAAGCGATATTTCAGGCTCTCAGCGAAATTGGGATTGGGGGACACTTATATAGGTGGATAAGAAGCTACCTCACAGGAAGATCAATTTTTATGTCTACAAAAGAAGGAAATACGCCTTCATATCCGGTGACCCGTGGTGTCCCTCAGGGGGGCGTCCTCAGTCCTATATTATTTAACATCGCTCTCATTCGTCTCGCCAAAATACTGCCCCCAACCATCCAGGCATCATTCTACGCCGATGATATCTGTATATGGGCTTCTGGATCTACACGAGTTCAAGCAAATGCAAGGGTTCAGTCTGCACTAAAGAAAATGACAACTTATCTTAATACCCGTGGACTCGAAATTTCCATTGACAAATCAGCAGCTATTGCTTTCACCCGCCGAAGAATGGACAAATACCCACTTAAGATAGGCAAACGAACAATACCGTACGTTAAATGCCACACATGTCTTGGAGTAACCATCGATAGGGGTCTGACCTGGTCACCTCATATTTTGTACTTGCGCAAAAAGCTTGCCAGTTTTAGTGTTCTTGCCCGCTTCATCGGTGGAACCGCGTGGGGCGCGACAGTAAGATCCCTATTACAGATATACGTGGCCTTATTTGTCGGCTTACTTCGATATAGCGCTCCCATTTTACACGGCACGTGTCAAACCAACATCAAAGCTCTCAGAGCAGTTCAAGCACGTGGCCTCCGTGGCTGTTTGGGCCTACCAGCTTGTGCCTCGACTCTGGGCACAGTTGCCGAGGCACGCGCCACACCTGTAGAAATACTAATGATGCAGGAAACATTGAGAGTTCATCTGAGACATACTACTAATCATAGTCATCACTTACTGGCTGATCTTACTTTTAAGCGACCTCACTCAGAATATTCGATGGCACTATCAAAATGGAGCAATACATCCCTGAGGATATAAACTCGTTTATACTTCTAACAATACCTCCATGGAGACTCCCTTTCCCTGTTGTGGAACTTGACATTCAAGGCATCAAGAAGAAATCAAATACACCATTGCTAGTGCTTAAACAACTCACTTTATCAACCATTGCCTGTTTACACGCGTTTACCTCGTCCTAGAACAAATTATGGGCTTCAAATGTTACAGCATACATTGCCAACATTACTGAACTTTTTAAGAAACCGCCATGTCTGTCTTGATGCACTAAATAAGAAAACAATAGGCACAATATTCACTTCTAACTTTTAAACTTTTTTCTCCTGCATAGAACTGCCTGTTTTGTTTTTTCGCCTTTAAAATGTTTCTGTTAACGTTTCCTGTCTGCCGATCTGCCGATAGGGGGCAGGGGCTTTGTCAAGCTGCACATTTTGCAGCTTTTTTTCCCTGTCTCCGTCACCCATATGTACAAATGGGAGTAAATAAATGAATTGATTGATTGAATGAACATATATACGGACTTATCATGTATCAAAAATAGTTCTACCGCAAGCATTGTGATTCCATCGTATGCCACAACAAGAAAATGCAAGCTTAGCCACAAGACATCTTCAACAGCGGCTGAACTTGTAGGCCTTCATCGAGCCCTTCGATTTATATTGACAAAGCCACCTCAGGCACGGACGGTGTTTACAGATTCTAAGCCTGCACTCCAAAGCATCTGCACATATCTGCGACGAAGTGAAAATGGACGAATTATTTTCAAACTTTTATGCCATCTTCAGAAATGTATTGATAGGAGACACTCTGTCGAGTTCCAGTGGATTCCTGGACACTGCAAGATACCTGGAAATGAAGCTGCGGATGGTGCTGCGACTTTCGCCCATACCTTATTCCCCAACGTCGAAATACCCTACTCCAGAAGCGACGTCACTTCATTGAAAAATCTCCACGCCCGAAATGCAACACAAAGTCTCTGGAAGAGCTCTGCACACCATTACCCTCCTCTATATCTACTGGATCCTGACCTAACATACCGTGTGTCACGTAATTTACCCAAGCGAACGGAAGCTGTTATACACCGATTACGTCTGGGCGTCTCCTACACACAGGAATTTCTGCACCGAATCGGAAAAACACACACTCCGAACTGTCCAGGATGTGATTGTGTGAAAACTATATCTCATTTATTATGTGAATGTGCACTTTACGATGCAGAAAGAGAACTCCTAAAGAGGATTCTTTCACATCTAGACGACCGGCCATTTACTACGTCCAAAATACTAGGGGCCTGGGACTCACCACTTAAAGAGGAGAAGGCCGCAAAAGCCCTTCCGCGATTTTTATCAGCAACTCGCCTCGAGTCCTGTTTCTAAGAACTTATCTAGTGTTCATTATTTGTTGTCGTATAGAGGGCTATCCATTTTATAATTCCTGTCGGTGTACACGTGCGCAACTGGACTTCGCGCTGGCGCGTACAAAAACTCGAGTGTTTTGGATGAACATTAATGACAATCCAGCACGCACTTTCAGTCTCTTAGTTTTAGTGTCATATTGGAAACTGCGGCATTTTCTTAATTATTGATCCTGCCCTCACAGTGTTAACGTGAGTGCTAGTGTCTTACCTTTATCCTCCTCTACTTTTTCTTTCCTCCTTCTTTTCTCTCCTCATCCCCTTCCCCAACTTCAGAGTAGCCAACCGAGGCAGGCCGCCTTGGTTAACCTCTCTGTTTTCTCCTCCTGCCCTTACCTTCTTCTTATTCTTGCAGAGAAATGTACGAGTGGAAGCTTGGCAACAACCTTCACGAGTTCAGCTGCGTTTACGTTTGAGCATGGTGCAGTAGTGAAAGGCTCAACGAAACTATCCGGTAGTCGATTCGAAAATATTCGGCCAAAACCAGTATTTGCTTCTAATTCGCTTTGAACTCAATATCCACTATTCACACATGACTTCTATATTGCGAGGAAGCCTAATTTGTGTGGCGCAGCTCAGAAAACAACGGCCTTGGGTTGACACAACTGAATATGGTCATAAGGCATGTATCGATCAATTGCATATTCGTGCCCTGGTATGAGCAGATGTGATTATGAAAATTAAATCCTCAAGCAATAAAGTGCCCTGTTTTCCGAACTGCAGACCGCGAACTAAGAAGTTAAACATTTGATAATCTATTTGGTTTGAAGTACCGGTACAATTGGAAGTAAAGGAAGTAATATTGCGTGCTCAAATAGGTCGACAGCCGTCTATCGACGAATGCATCGCTTCTTCGAAGGGGGGGGGGGGGGGGGGGGAAGGGAGTAATATTTTATTTTTAACGCCCTAGCGTTAAGGAACTCGTGTCGCATAAAAGCCGGCGTCGGTGGCGTGACGCAAAATTCTGATTGGTCGACAGGGGTCATGACGTCACTGCCACATGTCCTCGCGCAGAAATTTCAAACAACCCACGGAGCTCACGTGCAACCTGAGGTCACGCTGGAACCAACCAGACAGCGTGAAAAGTGCACCATCATGGTGTCCGTCATGTTTCTGTACGTGCTCTATCATCGCTGAACCAATCATAAACGGATTAGGCCTAGTGACTTTCGCTTTTGACGCGGCTTGATTGGTTTCATTACCTCATAGCGTCGGCTGCGTTTGCACTTAAGCTGAGACGTAGTATAGCTGGTAATTCTCAAGGATCCTTCTACTGTTCGCCCGCCACCTCCTAGAAACTAAAACCTGCGCGCCTCGTTTTGTTATGTCAGCAACGTAACGTAGCTGACAACAAAACGAAGCGCGCAGGCTCCTAGGCAGAGCGAGGAGAGCCAGCACAGGGTTTTCGCCGCCGAGCATCTGCGACAACGCGGACGACGCACTCCGAATGACATAAAAAAACACTTTTTTTTTTTATGCGCCAGCATTTTTAGTGCATTTTGTCTGAGC